TCTGTACAAACTGTCAACGGTTGCTAACAGTCCATTGTTTTGAGCACATGTGCATCTCATTATTACATCAGTGCACAGCATGTTACGATCCATACGGATTGTAACGTTCTTTATGCGTGATCGATAATGGATTGTGAATTTCTTGTTATGTAAACCATAAAGCAAACAAGTGCGCTTTGAATGTAATATACCTGTAAAATTCCTAAACTGTAATATTCTCTGTTCTAGGAGCCTTAAAGCAAAGCATGTGCTTGTAATGTACCACCATTGCTTATTTTTTTAATTTTTTGCTTCTTTCATGGATGACTACTCTTAAACATTATCTTTATTTCTTTTGATTTTAGGTTATGGGATATCTTAATCTTTTTGCCAACTCTATAGATAATTTTACTCATGGCCTTGCAGTAGCCGGCAGCTTTGTTGTTAGTACAAAGGTGAGTTGCAGTTCAAGCATTTTTTATATCTAACCTTCCACTGAAGAGCCCTACAGCAGCAGGGCCCCACTGAAGAGTCTTGTACCATGTCCTCACCATAGCACGGTCCCTCTGAAGAGCTCCTATTGTTGAAGTAGGCTTGCTGCAAAAAATATTGCTCTACACTTATTATTAGATTAACTATGTAGGCTGCAGTCTTCCCAGTTAATGAGTTGTGTGGAATCATGTCCTTTCTGACTCTTGACCTTACATCAGGGTCTGCTTTTAATACTTAAAATCTAGGAAATTAGATTGACAAATGTTGCAGGTTATCAGAAGTCACTGGGGACTTTGCTCAAGACAACCCTTTGCTCTTTTTTCACCCTCACCCTTTTCTTTTCCCCCAAATCCACCTATATATCTCATTAGTTTCTAGCTGTGTAATTCTACTTACTGATACATCAGCATTTGCAAAATAATATTAGCAGTATTTGTCACAAAATAAATACTACTGGGAAATTTCCTTCTGTGTTTACCGTCGAACCTTTTGTAAGCAACCACTCAAAATGCGCAGACTTGGTGGACGCTTACGAGCTGTGGTCATTTTACAAGAATCAAACCAGCGGGGGTCACTTTTGAGAAGAGGTCCTTAGCCATGAAACACGGTTGTTGTCACTTACAGGAGGTGGTCATTTAAAAGAGGTTCCAATTCTAAGGCTAGACTGGGAATATTTTGGTGTTTTGGATAAGTGGTCGCTTATGGGAGGTGGTCACTCATGAAGGTTCGCCTGTAATTGTCTTTTGATAGAGTATACTTTAAAGAGTTTTAAGAAAATTATGATATACATGTAATTTGGCTTTTACCAAACTCTATTTTGTAGTATTAACTGAGGCATGCCATCCAAAATAGTGGTTGCCCTACAGTAGCCTTGCACCTGTTGAATAAAATCTCTAATTTCATCAGACCCCCTTATGTTGCAGCCTTTTTGTTTTAGAGCTAGTTTCTATTGTTAACTTTGTCCATTGACTGTTTTTTCAATCAACCTTGGGAGACCTTAGCTGCAAGGTACCTGGTGCCCACACAAGTCAAGTTAGAGATCAATTACTACTGACAGAAGTGTACATGTATTGAGCACATTATGATGCGCAGTGTCTGACAACTGTTTGCTTTGTTTCAGGTGGGCATGTGTACAACGTGTGCAATCCTTCTTCATGAAATTCCACATGAGGTAATACAGCTGTGTGGCACAGTTTAAAAATGGGCAGGGCTGTCACTAAGATTTTAATTTTTTTAGTATATGCATGAAATTAGTATGTAGGAATTGAAGAGCTAAAAAGGGCTCTATAGTATTGGTCCTATTTTCCATTTGTTTCCTATGAAAGGATCCAGAGGTGACTTGTTAACTGGGGAAAATACCCAGTTCCCAGCCTTTAGCGACAGCCCTGATGGTTGTGAATGAGTTGGTTATTGTTCAAACAAAAGTATTAAGGGTAGAATTAGAATAATCTTTTTATAAATATGATGTACTAATAATTATTTAAAGAAATATGCACATTGTGGATCATGTTGTTGCAAATGCCTTTTACTGCTGGCCCACTGCTTGGCAGCCAACCTAATGATGACAATGATGACTGCTACTCTTCGTACCCCTCTGTCAAAGGGCTAGTGGCTGAATTGTCAGTTTTTTATGAATGTCTTTACAGTGAAAAAATTTCCTGTGAGTTACATTAATGTCATCTGCTTTGTTGTTTTCTTTGTAAATTGCAGATTGGTGACTTTGCTATTCTTTTGAAATCTGGATTTAGAAGATGGGATGCTGCAGTGGGACAAGTATGTTTTAATTTTTTCAAAAAAATCTAAGGTATAACCTAAGCTGAAGATATTACATGTTTCTTCATAATCTGTACTTTACATTGTCTTGTTACATTAGATGGTAACTGCCTCAGCTGGTCTTTGTGGAGCTGTCTTTGGTCTCATAGCGGAACATGCAGGTAATTTCTGTTCTCCTAATTTATTCCTTGTTGTGGGAATGTGCTCTCGAATTATTCTTGATTTCTGTGTATACAATGACTCCATGTCTTTTCTAGTCTTTGAGACTGTGATATCCTGTTCAATTTTCTTTCTATGAAATTTGTCAAAGTTTTTACTGTGTTAGCATTACTAAATGTACCAAAGGTACTTACTGTACTTACTCAATTAAATGAGGCCGGATTTATTTCAAGGATAATTGCATTTTTTTTTCAGTTTTCTTAAATCAATCACTGACAACAATTGTCATTGATAAATCAAGGTGTTTTAAAGTTTTTGCTTGTCTTGATTGTGTAGATTACTGAGTTACAAGTACTAGGTTTTTTTTATTTTTGTAGAAGTTGCACACCCGGCTCACGCCTGCGGGCCAATTTTGCCTGATTACTGGACCCACTCAGACCCATGTAAGGAGCGAAAACCAGTGTAAAATGAATAAAGGTCCCATTTGTAATGACATTTCCTCGGGAATCTTCGGAAATGATCGTGTCGTCTTCAAAAATCCCAGCACTTCCAGGATAAAAAGTCTATTTCAGGGTGTTGTTTAGTGGAGTAAAGGTCCCATTTGTAAAATAATATTTGTATGGTTTTGAGTAAAAATGGTTTTGAAAATTTTAGAATTTAAATCAGTTCAAATCAATGTGTTTTCTTTCTCAATTCAGGAGATTCAACAGCTTGGGTGCTTCCGTTTACATCAGGAGGATTTATCTACATTGCATTGGTGACTATCGTTCCAGAACTTCTACAGGAGACAAGACCAAGGTACTTTTTGAGCCATGTACTTTAACTTCGTTGACAGGCTAAGACCAAGGGGCAACGTTTGTTTCCTGCACATTAACAGCAGTCACAGGCCCAGCCACAATTTTCTTAACAATTTGTCCCTCTAAAAGCTGATCAGACTGTCACCACCAAAGTGGACACTTGAAGAACTTAAATGTAAGACAATTATTGCATGCTTGGAATTGGGGCCCGTCCTTCGCTAAGGCCACGTCAATACAAATCCAGATATTTTTGAAACTGCATTTTTTTTACAAAAATTGTTCTTCCATCCACACGTAACCAGTGAATCCGCTCACGGAAATTACATCTTTTTGAAACTGCTCTTTTAGAGCTGTCAAAGCCCCTGTCCACACAAATTTGGGTAGCAAAATATGAGGTTTTCAAAATGTCTGGATTCATTGACACTGTCAGGGTTCACACAGTCTTGAAAAGTCCTTGAATTTTAGGGGAAGTCCTTGAAGATTCCCTGAACTCCATTTTTCCTTGAAAAGTCCTGAAATTTCTGTGCAAGCCTTGAAACGTCCTTAAATTTTCTTCAACTTTAAATGTAGTGGCCTTGAAAGTGTTTTTTGATGCTCTTTGGTTGTCCATGACAGAATATAAATCATAGCTTGAGCAGAGAAATTAAAGGTTATTTGCACAAAGTGCTCAGTGTTTTTTGCAATAATTAACTATCAATTTAAGACAAGTGAACTGAAAAATGTAGAGAAGTTGGTGAAGCAAACAGTTCAAGCCTTAAAGGCTTATTAGAATAGACTGGGAATGTACATTTATATACCCTCTGTGGATTATTATATTCCTGGTAGGTGGTCCTTGAAAATTTAATGTGGTCCTTGAAAAGTCCTTGAAGAACAGTATGTTGCAATTTTCCATTATGAACCCTGACTGTGCCTAGGTTTCTGAAAATGTTGTTTTCTTCAGTAAAGTATTTTGTTCCTTTCAGGGAGTCTGTGAAGCAAATGGTGATGATGATAGCTGGGATTGCCTGCATGGGACTGGTTTCTTTAATTCATTAGTAGTAAATATATTAACCAAAGGATTAATAAATAGGCAGACTTGAAACAACCTTTGTAATACATTAAACAATGAATTTACCAAATCACAAACTGGTTATTTAAGTAAAGCAATAAAAAAAATGTAAATTATTTTAGCTTTGGCAAGAGGACACTTTTGAGGTGGAACAATATAATTGTATACGCAGCCCTTTGACTCACAAACAGTACCTAGAAACAGCTGAAATAGAAAGAAAAAATTAGGGGAACCCAATTTGAATGTTTTGTTAGAATTGCAAGACTGGTAAAGAAGGGTTCCCTAAGATCTGACCCGAAAGCCATTCAGCAGTAATCTCTTTTGTTGCTTTTCACCATGCTCTTAAAGGTGGTTCTGACTTGGTTTGTAAACGAGTTAGGCTACTGACTTGCAAACAGAATGTTCTTTCCATTGCTTTATGTTATTTCGTACTGGGTCAGTGGTTTTGAATCAATGGGCAGAGTCCAAAATTTTGACATTTTCAAAGGGAAGCAAACCAAAGTGGGCTATAAAGCTATTTTTCACTCAGTGTTGTTTTACTTAGTACTCGTCTCATACAAATTCTTATATTCCATTTGTTGTATAACTAACTTACAGACACTCACATTTCAAACTTGGGCTACCTGTGGTCCCATTCCCTCTTGGAAAAATTGTAAGTATTGTGCTCCGAAATGCATGTCACAAATTGTCAACATTTTAGTAGAGACAGACTGCAAGCAGTCTTTATTTTGATTGTTCATTCCCCATTCTTATGAATTAACCATATCGCTTGATTGATAATTATGGTTGTACGGTTACTTTGCTGCTTTCTGGGAATCCTTCATTTTCTCTTGTCTGTTTTGAAATATGTAATTTATAAAGTTCCTTATGTTGGATATGCAATATTTTAGTATTTCGTTTGGGATTAGAAGTGTATTTTTTGAAGTGCAACTAATGATAATTTTATTAATGGGGTAAAAAGAAAGCAAAGTTAACCTTAAAGTAATTGTACTTTTTTCCCACCCTCTAGGGAATCTACCATCTGACAGATAATGTAACATTTTATTACGTTTGAAAATGTGGACAGAGTGCGAACGAGCTCTCTTGTCAAAGGAGGGGAAAACCAATCTGTCAGAAGAGAAAAATTGAAGGGAGTTCAGAGTTTCAAAAATTCTCACTTTCAAAACGAGGCTAAGTGCGAAACCTCTCTTGTGAAAATGAGTTTTATTTGCATAAAAGTAAAAAAAAAACATTTTCATATCAATGGCTTTGTGCGTAGCCTCGCTTTTCAAGAGAGGCTTAAGGCAACTCGAAAGAGTCTTTTCCTTCTGATCATCTGCGTTCTTCACAGCATTTTCCGGAAGAGAGCTTAATATATGGATCACAGATTATTTTGCAGTCGATCAGAACCAAATTTATCTCGGCAGTTTCGAAAGATTTTAAAAGAATGTTGGGGGGGCGGGGAAAATGACTCGGGTGGTTCAACTTGTTACAAGGTGTGTGACTTTGAAAAGGTACTGATTACCTTGATTTTGTAATAGGACACCTAAATTGATATAAACTATTTAAAAATAAATTTTAGGCAGCTATAGAGCCACGTATTTTAACACAGAATTAGATCTCTGATGACTTGACAACAAGTCAAGTCTTTGTCAAGCTCGAGTGCAAACCTATCTATTTTTTAAACGAATAGCAGTTAAATTGTATATAATTTATTTAGTTGTAGACAACAAAATTTATGAAAGAGATTCTAAAAACATTAAAGTAACTTTCAGTGTGATTCTTTCCAACTTCTTCGTACCCATCTCACAAATACTTGAGGTTTTAAACTTGCTGATCTGAAGATACCACTGACTACTGAAGAAAAGAATTTTTGATGTAAGAAAACGTTGGAGTGTTGACAGCAGCGCTCATAATCCTGCTTAGTTCTCAAACTTCGAGTCCAAACTTTGAATTATATGCGATACATATTTTTTTGTTGCGGAATGTGTAAAAGGAATAGGAAAAACATGGCAAAATTATTCATTTTTTCGCACGGTTTCCCCCTCGGCCGGGCAGATTTAAAGAACGACCCACCAACCCACCCTGACGAAGTCGTGCATTTCGGGTTTTTGGTTTTCACTCACTCGCTGGACCAAATTAGACTAGGAGTAGTCCCCCATTTTTTCCTCAGGGATAGTAGAGCGAGCGCGCGTGAAAATCACCCCACGCGAGAAAGACGACAAAAAAGATAAGGTCTCTCCCCGCCGCGTGTCGCCTTCTCTCGCGTGGGATAATTTTCACGCGCGCTCGCTTTCGCTCGCTCTACCATCCCTGAGGACAAATGGGGGATTACTTGTAGTCTAGGACCAAATTTATTTCTCATTTTGTTTAGAGTGTTCATTTGTACGCTAGTATTTCTTACGCGCATGGCCAGCTACTCAACCAAAAACACCTAACAGTAGATAAAAACCGAGTAAGGGAGTAAACTATTTACAGAGAACAAATCACGTCGAGATGACGCACCCTCAAGAAGCCCGTCTCTCGAAAGTCCCGGTAAAACTGCTTGGCCTCGAACTCAAATATTCAAATCAAAATCTAACGCGCTCCACGGCATGTGTGACTATCCCTCATTACATAAGTGGGGCAAAGAGCTTTGAAGAACTCTATCTATTCCAATCAAAAAAACCGAGAGCCAGGCGCGTGAACTGAGAAGAAGCGACGGCAACGTAAAATGTTAAAAAAATTAATGATGACTAATTTTTTTGTTCCCTTTCTAAACTTGCCTGCGGTCCCTTAAAACGTTAACTCCTTAAAAGTTCATCTATCCCCAGTCGGCAGTCTATGCAATTACGGCAGCGACGTAAATAAATGAAAGAAAAGTAATATTTGGTCAGTTATCATCGTAGTTATGCAGAGGACGACAAAGAAATATACCAAATAGAGTGATGCTCAACTTCTGGTTACCGTCGGCAGGGGACAAATTGGAAACAGAAAAGGGGTAGACTACGAGTAGTCCCCCATTTTTCCTAAGGGATAATAGACAGCGCGAAACGCGAGCGCGCGTGAAAATCAACCCACGCGAGAAAAGGCGAGACGCGGACTTGAAAATCACCCCATGCGAGAAAAGGCCGCGTCTCGCCTTTTCTCGCGTGGGGTGATTTTCATGCGCGCTCGCGTTTCGCTCGCTTTACTATCCCAGAGAAGGGGAGGAGAAAAAAACGACATGAAGACAGTGAGCCCCCTCCCCCCGCCCCGCTTTTAGAAATACAAATACAAAACAAGCGTACACCAAAACGTCTGAACGTTTAATTTAACAATCATAGTTCCATCTGACAATATTGTGGTTTAACGATTTTCCTTATAAGGCTAACCCACTTTTTATGGTCGCTTATTAAACAGTTCATATGAATTATGCGGAGTCGGTTCCGGGTGGTGTAACTCGCAGCTTTCCTCCGTATTTTGCCTCTACTTTTTTCAAATCGATGCCTTTACTCGCCGGAAGATGCCTGAATCGACATTTGTCCTCAAAGTAACAACCTGTTGTACGCCAGAAATAACACTCGTCTCCATTTACGGGACCTGAGAGTTTGCTTGCTGTTAATCTAGCATCCCTAGACAAAAAAGAGGACAAAAAGAAAATTGGTAAATTCACCTTGTATGCAATGTGGGGGATGTTTACAGGACACCGGAGCGACTTTCGCGCAGACGCGAGTTCACTCCAGTTCCCTCTCGAGGCTCTGTATTTGTTTACATTATACTGCCACAAAATGTCATGCCGGCGCGAGTCACACCGGCGTGAGTTCACCCCCGGTTGTTGTACTGGAGAGAGAATTTCACTCTCGTATGAAATGTCGTAACGGTATCATGTAAACGCGAAACGACCACCCGGTTTCGGTCTGCCGGTGGACTAGAACGGTTAGCGTATGCGCAGTTTTCGTCAATTCAGGATGGCGTTCATGTTGGTCATGGCATAACTGAGGTTAAACAAATATCAGTTTAAGGTAAAGGGCGACGAAGGCATCGAAAACTGCACCGATTAAGTGGATTCGCGTTCCTTCAATATTTATCACGATTATTCAGTCTCTAGAAATTCTCCTCGAATAACAGCTGAATTCTTAGTGGCCTGAATTAAAGTTCAGAAAGAGGACGAAAAATTGGTCGTCCTCCGCTAAAGTCCTCCACAAATTAGGACGTTTCACATCGTGGTTGTTGTACAGTGACGGTAAAGAAATGTGCTGGAAAGTATGATGCTCGTCCAGAGTGTTGTTTTTCTTAAAAGCCTATCCCTTTCGTGACGTTCTCGTAGCTGTCGCCGTGGTGATATCTTAAACTTTCTAAACTTAACACAACTTACACATCCTGTTGTTTCTTTTTCAGAGGAGGCACAGGGATGGTATTATTAAAGACGAATTGACTGCCTGGTGAGCCTGTGTTGTTAGGATACCTCAGAAGTAAAGCTTCACCTCCAAGCTCGTGGCCCTACAAAGGGATAAGAAACGGTTAACACCTCGCGTTTTCTTTGCTAAATCTGCATAATGGCGCCTCCACTGATACGGTTCAGTAAAAAGGTCAAATATGGTATAAAATTTTTGAACGGAAAACCGTTTGTCAAAAACATTTTTTCTTCAAGTCCTTTCCCAAAACCGCTCTGGTGGTGAATCTCAGTGATCGTATGGATTTGACTTAACCCTCCAAAACGCACATCCCTTTTTTGATTTCAGAAATCTGAATTTAGATTCATCCAAAAAAAGGGAAGGGCGCAGTTGCAGAAAAAGTGTTTTTTTTCCTAAGCTAAGCTTATCCTTCTTACATTGCACTGGAAAAATACCTTTAGACCAAAATGAAAAAAAAATACACAACGCAGAAAAATCCTCTAAGCTTTAATTGTCGAAAGGTGGAATTTCAATGTAACATGTACCTGTAATTTTTCAAGTGCTATAGCAGCCGAATCAGCTTTTTCGAAGTTGACAAATGCACAAAACCTCTTAGGAAGGATCCGTACATTATCGACATGGCCGCATCTGCTAAAAAGCTGTAGTAAATGCCTCTCACTGACGAGTTCAGGGTTAACGTTGCCGACCCACAGCGAACGACACGAGCCATCACTGCTACTACTTTCACTTAATCTGAAGAAATGAAAACCAAAACTTAGTTACAATCTGGGACGAATAAAATCCCCTTGGAATATACATACATGTCTACACAGTAGTTCTGCATCAGCTGAATCAAGTAAATGTATACACATGTAAATCTTTTCATATGAATCTTTTCTCTATAAAATCGAACCCCGCTTTACGGACACCCGCTTAATACGGACACCTCGTTATTACGGGCAGTTTTCCTTGTCCCTGGGGGAAGTAAACCCTCAAATTTCCTCCTCAGTGTCCGTATTGACGGGGTTTGACTAACACAGCTTTTCTGGACACTATACCAAGCTGCCAAGTGTCCTGCGTACAATGCCTACGTAAATATCCGACACTGAATATCGATATCCCATGCGTTACTATCGCCCCTGAGTACACAAGGGAGCTGGTCTCACTCAAAGCGCAAGGTGCATACAATCTTAGAAGTATTAGTGGAATACTGTTGGCCACGCCCTCCGTTAAGACTAGGGTAACTCTAGACGACAGATCTTTCCAAGTCACAGCTCCAAAGCACTGGAATGCTTTGCCGCGGGAGTTCCGCGCCAAGACACATGTTAATAAGTGCCATCTCAAAACCCATCTTTTTAACATGGTTCATACAGGTTTGATGACCTTTTATTCAAGGACTTTTCCAGGACTTTTCAAGGACTTTTAATAATATTCAAGGAGTCCATTTCCACAGGCACGATATCACATTTTTTCTACAGTCACTCCAAAAAAGCAATTCCTGTAAGAACAAATAATGTGGTACAACCAAAGGATAGGATTGTATAGAATCATTCCTTCAGCTTTTCCAGCATGGAACTTAATTTTTCGTCTAAGGAAACAAGATCATTAAGTTTGTCCTTTGCAGATCGCCTCAAAGCATTCGCCTGAGTGACAAATGTTAACTTAGCAGTAGCCTCTGCTTTGGTACAAAGTTCATCGGCTGTGTCATTGAGTGACTTTATTTCAGCATCAATTCTCTTCTTCTTCTTTTTGACTTCATCAAGTTCCCACCGCCGATTGTAAATGCAGTCTCCTCTTTTACCTTTTGAATTCATTTAAGACACAATAAACAGGACCAGAGTCGAATAAATTTCACACTTTTAGATTTGAGCTACATTTCCCTCGTGGTTTAATTTGCTTAGAGGGGGGCTGTAAAATACACCTAGGAAACCCCATTGAAGATGCGGTTACTTAGATACTTTGAATAAGAACCACTGAATTGTCCTGCTATAAAAAGCTTCGCCGTTTTTGAGACGATAAATGCGTTTCTCAACTGATGTTAGATGTTAACGCAATATTTTCAGTCTTTTGATGTCAAAATTAACTTATTTTGCTGTATCCTCAATAATCAAGGACTTTTGCATAAAATTCAAGCACTGCTTCTTCAAATTCAAGGAGTTTTCAAGGAGAAAATCATTTTCAAGGAGTTTTCAAGGACCTAACAGTTTTTCAAGGAGTATTCCAGGCCCGTGCGAACCATGTTTAAGATTGCTTATGACTAATGTCACGATATCGAAGTTTGAAATTATTAATTTTTCTTCTTTTTGTTCCACTTCCTCCTAGTTTTATACTTTTATAATTGTGATTGTAAGATATTCAGTTGTATTATATCAATTTTAAGTAAATTGCAAGGGTTCATGCAAAAAAATGGAAACCATTTTTCAAGGACCACATTAGATTTTCAAGGACCACCTACTAGCAATATTGTTTCACAGATTGTACAAAAATGCACATTCTCAGTCTATTCTAATAAAGCTTTAAGGCTTGAACTGTTTGCTTCACCAACTTCTCTACATTTTTCAGTTCACTTGTCTTAAGTTGTTAGTTAATTATTGCATAAAACATTGAGCACTTTCTGTAAATAACCTTTAAAATTCTCTGAGCTATGATTCATTTTCAGTCTTGGACAAGCAAAAAGCATCAAAAAACACTTTCCAGGCCACTAAATCCAAACTTGAAGAAAATTCAAGGACTTAGGATTTAGGAGGATTTAAGCGCAAACCGAACACAGTCTTGGTTAGCAAGTTACCTGGGATGTTGTTTTTGATGCTCATCCTCTCCATCAGATACATATATTTCTGCTGTTGCAGGTGAGCTGACTTTTCCAGCTAAAAGCGCTTCGAGAGCTGCCTGAACTGTACCAAATGCCTGAATTGCCGCCTCACTTTGGCTCTGAGGGAATCCCATCTCCTACGTAGTCACAGATGAGAAATTTAAACAATGCAGACTAAGTTACTTGTAGAGATATTCAGGAGTTAAAGATAGGTGTAAGTGATAAACTAGTATAGCCAAAAAAAAAACTTGCAAATGAAAGAACTAGCTGAATGAAGAGAGCTCGATGAAGCAGTGAGAATAGCTCGAGACGGTTTACGAACAATTCGCCCGAAATGAATAGTAAAGTCGCCCAAAATATTGAGTTATGTCACCCCAAATTTATCACGCTCACCAACATTCCAACATCATTAATGGCACTTATTTTGTCTCATCATGGCTTAAAGAACGAGATACATTATACACACTGATTTATTTCACATAACCTTTCTGTGTATTATGCCCGATAAAATTTCGAACAACATATCTTTAAATGTTGGGCGACGTAACTCTAGTTTCGGGCATCATACAGCTTCAGGTGAGAAGCCTTTCGGGCAACTTGACCACTTACACTTAAGACCAAGGAATGGCTACAGATTTTACGAGCAGTACCTGTATGTGGAAACACTAGCACTGGATTGAGCATGTTACCATCTGATATGTATGCACTGGATGTAAAATTAATGAAAAATTTAAAAACTGCACGAGGAAAAGCTGCAAGAAGTATGCCCTGAACCTCTTATGCCCTATCATGATAAAGCAAAGCGCATACCTCCAATTGCTGGACTCGCACTCTTGCCAGTTCAAACATAGCATCTTCACAGTGCTTATCAAGTTTTAACACCTGAGCAAAGCTGGTCTCTGCGTCAGAATATAACTGAAAAGAGAAGGAACTGTTAAAATCGTTACACTTCAGGATTTAAATCACATACAAAATCACCCTTCTGCTGTCAGAGCAAATGATGGACTCTTGTACTGAGGCAGGTCTAGCTATTCAGTCTGTGGCCAAAAAATCATTTTGTGAGACGTATCATTCGAAATGAAAAATCTTTCCGGACACATTTTTGAACGGACAAAAACAATTCCACAACTGACATCACGACAATGGACCAATAGGAGAGTGAGTGATATTTGATGCCACTTTCGACACAGCATATGTCAATCATTTTTCCCCATGTGAATTTATTACATGATTCAAATCCATTCAGGCAAATTAAGTCGACCTTGCGATGAGAAGCCTGTTTGGTCGCTAGCCTGCGCGACCTCATTGAAGCTCACTTCGCTTGCTTTTAAGAACATTATGAGAGGTCAACTTGTACGAAGTCTAGTTCACTAGGTTTTGTAATAGGGATCTGCTGTACAAAATCAACAGAACAACACTACAGACAAGCATAACAATGTTATGATGCACCTTTAAACCTGCTAATGCTCTGCCTCTTCTGAAATACCCTTTTGGCCAATCAGGAGCAAGTGAAATGGAGACATCAGCATCCTGTAGTGCTTTTTCATACTGACCCATTCGATCATAACAGTAAGAGCGGTTTCCAAAAAATCTGTAACAGAATCATGAGATGCTTAAGTTAGAAAACAAATCAAACATTCCAGCCATTTGTAAGCAAGCAAGGTTCTGTTTTTTATTCATCCTAAAGAAAACTGAAGCATTTCATTGCAGTTCATACTTCAGGTTAATATTACTTATCAAGACCAGGATTTTTTAAGAATATGAAACAAATTTCAGTTAAGTAGAGTTAATTCCAGTGCCTATGGGATTTAAACTTTTTGAATTGACAGATGACAAAGCCTCCACAGAAAAGAACACCCACCGATAAGCCAGAAATAAACCAGATACTGCATAAGCTCTGATTAATTTCAAAACCTTTTTTCTCCCGTTCTAAAACTAAAAAGCAAACCGTACTTACAGACTGTGTCATGAAGCAGCTGTTTACACAATTGTACAAACAAACCTGAAGTCCTTAGCATCCAGATTGATAGCTTCAGTAAACAGATCAACAGCAGCTTGGTAATTACCAAGGTTTGCCATCTCGTTTCCTTTAACTAAACAGAAATGAAGGAGAACTGAGCAAGAGTGGTACCATACCCTCCTTGTAATAAGTGGCTGGGGCAGTCTAGAAAAATCTATTCTTAGCCTTTTGAACCTCATTTCAGTCCAAACATGAGGTGGGCCTTTGACCCTCTGCTTCTGGAATTTGCCGTTGGTTGAGCCAAAAAGCTGGTGATTCCTCTCAACTTTGACTGTAACTCTCTGCCCAGTGATTCATGTGTGTTGAGAGTTGTTGATTGTGGACCCTGCTCCAACAGTTTTTCCCTGGGTTTCTGGCTCATCTTTCCTCACAAAACCAACATTTTAATATCAATTTGATCAGCGGGAATGGTGGAAAAAGAGCTACCTAAAATATGTCCTTCCACTGAATCATCATCATGACATCATCATTTACAACACCATAATTAAATATTAACAAATAATTTAGCTCTGTCATGTGGCATATTAACCCTTTATCCAAAACATATTGGTAAGTCCCCTTATCACATCTCAGGTATTCACTAGCACTTGAGTCTCAAGGCGGGAGAACGTCAGTTCACTATAACCACTATCAGAGCCACAGTCCTACCAACCTGCTACTTGTCTGCTGCGTAGTACCACAGGGTCTATTTGTTCTGCCGGTGGTATCTGATCGGAGCTGTTTTTAGCAGTTTGTGATGTTGGGCCATTGGTAACAGGTGTATTATTTTTTACTGTTGCTGGGTTGGAGACAGGGACTGTGGGTGGATTGCGACCAGCAGCTCTCGCGAAGAAAGCACTAGACGTATCCCATGTTGGCTCCTAACAGAGAGCACAATATGATAAGTATTAGGAGTTAGTTAACCTGAAGTGTCTGTAAGTGACATTGCTGGGTGTCTGTATGTGGCTAAGGAAAAGGCCTTACACAGGAGTATTTACTAGTCTAGTCAGATATTTACCAAGCTACATCTTCAAAAGTATCCCCAGTTTTCATTTTAGTGCAATTTGAAACAGTGATAAGCTCATTTTCAGCTAGTTAAATTCGCCAGTAGCCCCCTCTTAGCTACTGTACATCCCTGCTAGTATAGATACTTGGTTCCTATATTTGTGAAAAGTCTTGACAATTTTTGCTCCTTTCTGGTTGGGATGCCAATCAGTAGTGGGAATTGTCAAAAAAAAGTTATGGTCTTAGATAACCAGTTACAGTGGTTTGCAATTATTGTTTTCGGCAAAAAGTGTACAACCTAGACATACTGGATAATCTAGGTTTACAACTTTTAACATTACACAGCCTAACCTCTCCACCTGATAAATCCTCATCTTCGTGTCTGAAGAGAACATTTTAAAAACAACACTCAGAACAGTAACTCTAGCAAATGTCTAAGGATGCATTCAATTGAGATGATGTGCATCACGAACAGTGATCTGAAATCACTTGGATCAATTAGAACATCAAGGAAACCAACCAATCCTCCCTGGGAAAGGATTTATCTGTTCATTTGATGTACCATGGTCTGTGTGATCTATCACTGATTCAAAGGAATGCACCCTAAGTTAGTTTTATTTAACTGACTACCACATTTAACCAGACTGAATCATTCTATGGGGACCAATATGATAAACCAGATCAGTTTCCGTACTTCTTTGCCTCAGTGATGCGGCACCAAAGTTAATCATTAGCTCGCTTTACCCTCTTCTTCTGGTGAATTTGACAATAGTCCTTAACCAACTTCAATAAACATTCTTCGAACCAACTGCCTTGATTATGGTTATGTCACTGATTTTTGCCAAAAATCCACTCCCCTTACCCTCAGTTTCAGCCACTGAATGTCTGTTGATGGACGTACTGTAGGGCTTCCCCATTGACCTCCCATTGACCACTTACCCTAACCTCCCAAAAAAGCCTACTAGAGGGAATGGTACAACCGAAATTCCACACGAGCTTTTCTTTGAAGGTTTCAAGACTTCCCCTAAACTTGACATGAAAGAATTAAATCTGACATACAGACACTAGCTCTCACCTTCCAACCAAATTCAAAGAGAGAGAGAGTGGTGAAACACTCTCTCCTCAATACCTAGTGACAGTTAAATATTAACAGTCTTAGAAATTGCAACATTTCAGAATGGAAAGGCTTACCTTTTGGATGAATTTTGTTCTGTTTTTCCAGATTGCTGTAAATTTGAACTATTTACACAGTGTTCTTTGAGACCACTTGATAATTTTGTATTGTTATTTACAGTTTTGTTTGTAGCTGTTGACATATTCTTTTTCTTATCCACATCTTTAGCTGATGCTTTATTATTAACTTGGGTATTTTCTTTTTTATTATTCTTTTCCTGAAAGAGAGCAGATCATAACATGAGCAGCACATCACGGGACGGGGAGGGGGTGGCTGAGTCAGGGTGTAACAAACCATTCAGAAAAAAAAACTGTAATTTGTTTACCCACAAAGCACTTAGGAGATCTTAAGAACTTGTTTAAATGTGTCCGTGTAATCAAGATCAAATTTGAATTTGAAAATGTTGGGTTTTGAGGAAGAGAAAACCAGAATACCTGGAGAAAAAACCTCTCTGAGCAAAGGAAAGAGCCAACAACAAACTCAACCAACATAAGGCATTGATGCCAGGTTTTGAACCCCAGCTACAGGCTACACTAGTGAGAGGCAAGTGTTCTGCATCACGGTTGCTTCACTAGAATGGACTGAAAACAATAACCAACAAAAGACAAGACAAGACTATTTATTTGGAGTCTTTTAACAGCTGGTACATCAACTTTTTCCAAAAAACATAGCTCACATATAAATGGCAGAACCAAAAATAAACCCAACCTAATGAATTCCCAGGTCCAAGAGGAGAAGATATCAAATCAATTCCAAAAACATACAACACATACCTGTATATTTTCTTTTTCATCCTTTGCCTTTTTCTCTCTTTCTTTTTCTCGTTTTCTTTCTTTGTTTCTCTGCAAAAAATTATAGTGTTAAACAACTTCATGAAAAACCTCTCTAGATACTTGAAAATCATATTATTGTAACTTGATGACAATTCTGAATCCTGAATATATAGTCATAAGATATGAGTAACAATAAATGTTAAAAATGTCCAGATCATAAAATAATACCTTTATGCAAATAAAGACCTTATCAGAAATCAGAAGACAGACATTTGCCTTCGAGATGTCTTTGTACAAGAATTCTGTTGGAATTAGGATTAACTAGAGAGAGGCAAGTTTCAGCAAAATGTCCAATAAAGTTATAAACTTGTATCTTTGACTTCTTATAAGGTAAAGAATAAAAACAAGACCTTCTTTTTAGCTCTTCTTTTTTCTGCCTTTTTACGGTCTCTCTCTTCTTCTTCTATAAGCTCGTTAGCATTTTTCATGGCTTCCTGATGAATTGAAAATTATTTCGGTTACAAAAAGGTCCACTCTACTTTGAGGAAAAGTATCTCATTAAAAGACAACAGCATCAGTACATTCTAATACAATGTCATCATTGATTATTGCAGCAAAGGGTTGCTTCCTTCAAGCAAACCAAACATTTTTGATTTGAACTCCGCAGCCTGATGCAATTGTGTTGCAAAAGAGATTTGATAAAAGAGGAGAAAGGGAAATAAAGCACTTGAACTCACCGCCTCTGATAAGTTATGTGCTGGTTTTTCAGCTAGACAAAAGATAACAGTGATAGGTCAATGTAAAGTAGCTATCACTCAAATAACATTAGGATACCTTTACATACAAAAATTATCAATAAGACAGGGAGAATTTGAAAATTGAAATAGAAAATATGTATAAAGCTGAGAATGGTGTTTTTTTAGTCAGCAACATGGGCGACTTGGACATAAAAAATCCTAGGTCTCGATCCTAACAGGAGATGAGCCTATGACCTTCTGGTCACTAGTCCAGAAGCTTTACTACTGGACTACAGAGGACTTCTTGAAGGTAGGGCCCACCTACCCCTCCCCTAAGCCAACATGAACACTTACTTCTCACTTAGCACAAAATGTTGGCTTAGGGGAGGGGTAGGTGGGCAATTTCCCAGAAACATTAAAATGATCCCCTTAACTAAGTTCATGTGACAAAATTTGTCACATGAACTTAATGTCCTGCATACTGCTAGGACTAGAAAGTCGATAGCGGCATATGGGAAATTATTTATATGTGATGGTGAATTTTAAAGCTGATGAACACAAGAGAACTATGTTTATTCAATCAGTGGTACAGGTAACTCACCATTATACACCATATTTTTTCAGCTATAAGCCGAGTGATCTTTACACAAATTAAAGCTTAAGTTAAGTGAAATTTGAGTCCTAGAGGGGGTCTTGGCTTGTAGCCAAGCATTTTTGAAAAAAAAAAATCCCTTCGAGCGCAGTAAAACTCTACTAAATGGGGATAATGGGGTTGTATTCACTTAGAAGCCCAGCTATTAAGCTTAAAAAAAAAAAACAAATAGCAGCAAAAGATCAACTCAATCGCGTAACTACGAACCTGAATGATAAGTTAGCTAAGCTCAGAAATTGAGTCCCACATTGTCAAGATATCTAACAAAAACATGTCTCACAGTATTAAAATTACACATTAGTAAGCTTTTTACTACAAGGGAAGGACTAGAACAAATTAATGAAAGATCTCATGAAATGTGTAAATAATTGACCAAGTTTTGTCAAACATGTGCTTCGAAACATCTGCCTGGTTACTAAGCACAGATAAACACAATGCGAACTGCAGTTTGTTTTGATTGAAAGGCAATTTCAGTGACCATTTCAAGAATAATCATTGATGACATGAGGAAAGACTGTTAGCAGCAAAAAAACCATCATTTAAAACTTTGATCATGTGAGCGGGTTTATGTCGTTTTGAGTCAACCTGTTAAGGAAATCGGCAATCTGTTTGAATACTTTCCAAAGCCATTAGAAATTTTTGCCCACCTGTTAAAAGCATTAATCAAACCATTGAAAAAATGCTTTATCAGTCGTTAGTTTTTGCCTGTTTAACGGAAAAGCATTAGTGTACATTGTCCTGAAGAAGGTTACATTTTTTTTAAAAATGTTAGGTGTTACTGTAGTAAAAAGTCATGTAACGCATGGGTCTTGGCTTATAGCCAGGTGTTTTCGAGTCATTTTCGTTCTTGGTCATGCTGATTCTACCTGTTCAAAGTTTAGGGTCTCTGCTTATAGCCGAATAAATACAGTATATCATGTACAAAACTTTTGCAGAGAAAAATTACAAGAAATGTGGTAACAAATAGCCCACATTCAAAACTCTAACATGTCTCAGAGACTTTCTGGTCATTTTTCTACATTTGGTTTGTTTTTCTTTGTACTCAAGTCTCCTCTCGGAATTACGAAACATTAGATTTGTGAAAAATTTGCAATTTTGTCTCTTAAGCCTCAGAGTCGTGTGAGAAGTTTAATATATCAAACCTGGGCTATTAAACAAAGTCTCTCTCTTCAATCAGCCACTTGAAAACTACCTAACTTGCATACCTGTATCTTTTTCTGTGACTTTTCTTTCATATTTTTTTCTTAGCCTACGAGCTATACTTTGAAGAACTTCGTCGTCTACTTCATCATCGTCATCATCATCTTCATCACTATAGTAACTGTCATCTGAGTCATACATTGAAGGGTAGCAGCCGAACATTCCTACATAAAAAAATAAAAACACAAGTTTTTAACCTTACAGATAATATACTGTGATTATGTTTACAACTACAGTAAGAACTTGATAACTAACCTGGCGTACAAAACTAACAGGTGATTTAATAATATTGTCTCCCATCATCTAGTGAACTTTAGTTGCCCAAAACCTCTATTTTAGTTGCCCATGGAAGAATATTGTAATTGCCCAAAACATTCGGCAGAGACAAACAAAATGAAAGCTAATTCTGTGATGAATATTTGCAGAGTTCATGTGGCTCCTTGGAGAATTAAAAGAACCAATGAATTGAAATACCTGTAATTTCTGCAATGACTTAACAAGTAACTAAAAATTAAACCATTTTTTTTTCATAGTCCACTTAAAAAAATAAACAAAATCGTTCAGGAATTTTTTGAGCCCTGGTTGCTGAACTATGCAACTAAGTTTCCAAACTTCCCTGCCTGATGAAACTTTAAGTTGCCCTAGCAGGTTAGCAACTATTAATGTCAAGCACTGATTAAGTGATTCAACAGTTAGATAACACCAGAGATGGTACAAGAACTACCAGACAGTTACAATAAGATAATATACAGTATCAAAAACAGGCTGAAGTTTTAAAATATATTCATTGGCAGCAGAATGATGGCAATAAAGACTTACCATTTCGGTGAAAGAAAATGTGGGCAAAGAGGTCAAACATATCTGCCTGCAAGTGTAAGTTGAAAGAAGTGTACATATTTTACTTGATAAAATCAGTGGCACACAGATATGTTTGCTTTTAGTATGCAAACGTAGCTAATAAGGTTATCCAAGTGATCCTTAATTACACTGTACTTTGTTCATTACAGTCACTTCTAAAAAGACATAAGTCATCTGTAAATACACTGAAACCTCTATTTTGCGGACCCCCAAATATGTGGACTCAAAGCTGGGTCCCGAAATTAAAGTCTTATATTCCCCTTAACAACGAACCTCTATTCAGCTGACACCTCTATTAAGTGGATGTGGACACTAAAATAAATTGTTACTTGGCTAATTTCTATTGTTAAAAACCTCTATTAAGGGACACCGAAATGAGCTGACAAAAGTAGTATTGGATTACGTCCTTAAAATACGTACTGTCGTCCATTAATAAAGATAAATTCATACACTTAGCTGTCAATAAACTGTAGATTAGACCGATAATTATCGAACCATATGATTGTCATCCACAATCAAAGTTCATGTAAAAGTCTTACACAAAATATATCACAGCTATTCACCATCAGATCCTTCTTTGGCGAATTTTTAAAAACATGTAACTTTATCACAGTATGGAGTAACCAATGAATGTTAATTGCTAACAAACATTGTGCAATTTTTGCAAACCTCTATTAAGTGGGCACCCTCTGTTATGGGGACACTTGGGAAGGTCCTGAAGGTGTCCGCTTAATGGAGGTTTCACTGTAGCTAGAAAAGTAAAGCAGAAATAACAACCTCTGGTGAACTAAAATCTGGAGACTTTCTTTCTACTGTCCCATTTCCACATTATTAACTCACTATACCTCCAACAGACAAATAACTCAGGGTGCAAAGAAAGTCAGTTTTGCAGCTTGTCCTTGGCGTAAGCTGTACATGTAACTAGCATGCGCTAGCCCGCAGTCATTTTGACTAAACCAAAAAGAATTTTTGATGTGATGACTGATAGGTAGATCACAGTTCTTCTGTAATTTGAATTCTCCCCCAAAAAACTTCGCTTGCCCATCAGGCAAGTTAAGAACAGAATTCAGTAGCCCACAGGCAAAATTCACTATCAGGCACGACTTTCTTTGCACGCTGCAACTCAACCCTTTCTGCGAGTTCTACAGCTGTTAAAAGCAAAAGTCACTTCCACTACTGTAATGATGAAATAATCTTGAGAACCACTTAATATGCTGCAAGAAGTTGTAATAGGAACTTTAAAACTAAAAAATCTTTTTAATTTTGGCCTAATTTTGGGCTATTAGTACATTTACTTACGGCAGTTAAATTAACTTCATCATCACTGTCTTCACTGGTTAGTCTCTTGTATGCTGAGGAAACTTCTTGAAATTTCTAAAAGAATAACAATATTATATAGGGTTATTGGAGCTTTCACAAGCTAACAAGATAAATCAACTACTAAGGCCAAGAAAATCTTTTTTCAAAATAGTAAGAGAGCCAGCGCATAACAGGAAGCTTAAATAACCACCACATTATAGCACGATCACAATCAATTTGAGGTCCTTTCAGAACTTGGCCACACTAAAAAAATGTTTGTATCCAAATGTTTACCACTTTAGCCATACAAGAGGCTGACACAAATTTTACTTTACCAAAGCAAAGAAAATGTTCTTGAATCACTAATCCAAAAGCATAATATTCTGATTCTAACACATCAATGTTTCTTAAGTAGTTTAGATTTATTAGGAAAAGCAATGATTTCTCATCTAGTCTGATCACAGGGGCAAAAACAGTGCATATCCACAACACAATATTCTGTCCATTTTTTTACAAATTATCATTTGCAAAAAGGACATAGGTTATAAAAAGAGAGCTTGATGCATACTTTGGTAGCTTCTTCACTATTGTTATGTTTGTCCGGGTGCCATCTTAAGGCAAGACGTTTATAACTTGCTCTTATTTCATCGTAGTCTGCTCCTAAAAATGATACGATACAAAACAGCTATTAGAAAATAATAAGTTCTAATAATAATAATGAGTTCTAATCAAAGACAATGGAGTGCGTAGTTCATTTGTAAAACTGACTCTCTTTGCACCCTGCCAAAGCAAGAGTCACCTTCTTTTGGCACCCAAATTCTATCATTAGATAACATTTATCACAAATAGAACAGATAAGAAATTACAATCAATCACTTTGTCAGTTAACTAAAGAGTAAAGCACTAGTTCATTCAAGCTGATTGTAAGTGAAGAGTAAGGAAGTTAAAGTAACAGGAAAATGCTATGGTAACGGTGAAAACTATGGTTTTGTTTTCGAATCAGTATTGTACAAATTCTTTTGCTTCCTGTTAAAAAAAACATTCATTGTTTTAATTGGAGTCACAGCCAAACAAAACGGAAATTAAACAACTTGAAACCTAGTAGACACTTTAAATACAAATCTATTTACATGACAAATGGCGCTAATTTCTTATCAGTTAAAAACAATGAATATTTTTCGTCAACAAAGTAGACAACAATCTGACAGAACAATGGTAATAAATGTTCGAATTTTCGTCACGCAACTGGATTATTCTAGATTATGACGGTCGAGTATAAGATAGGCGTACGTTTCGAGCAAACACATACGGCAAAGATAGCGGAAATTAATGGCTATTATTATAAACTGAGCCATTTTTCAAGTCTGTCATGATTTCTGCCCTTTGAAAACAGTTTTCTTCGAATGTGCAAAGGGCACGAGAAGTTTATGTCACTCGCTGCGATCTGTGTTTGTCACACGCTGCACGCGATTTCATAACATTTGAACAAACAAATTACAGAATAAAGTACAAACCAAAAGGAAGCTCCAATATTTCGAACGCCTCGCCCTTTGTAAGGCCCATATTTTTATCGTTCTAAATGTCCTCACTCAAAGTTCTGCAGTCGAGTCCGCCATGATGTATAGTTTTTCACGTGTAATATTTTGGCGCGAATGGAGAATGCTGGGAAATTTAAAGTCTCGTGACTTTAGTAGAGCCACGTGATCTTTCGCCAGCGGCGCACTTCACTAGTACCAGTGCTCTGCGATCCATTTACACGAAGAACAACCTTGTTGAAATTGTTGAAATGTGTTTTTATTATTGGCCTTCAAATATAGAAGTGGAATTTTGCGGTAAAATGTGGCTTCCTTGTGCTTGAAATTGAATTTTCCGTGTTTTAATAACCTAGTGATAAGTTTACAATCGATCTTGCTCGATATGATACGTAAAAGTTTGGAAACGTGTAGTTGAAATCGCCAACTCCTCCATTTCTTGAATATATAAAACTGCTGGTTTCGTGGCGAAAGTTTGGATGGGATGGTTTATGCCATGGCTGATACAAAATCAGGACCTATTTCACCGAAGACGCCAGTCAAAGAGAAAATTGTAGGAATCTATGATGACTTCTTCAAGGTAAGTAACTATGATATGATGGCACTGGATAAACTAAGGAGTCTAAAATTAAAAATGAAGAAACTTGATGTAACCCATCACCTCGAAATGTTTTGACCATTTCACAATCCCGGATAATATGGAAAGTTAAAACTTTTACTACTGATCTGGTCCAGTAAATTTCTTTCTTTAGTTTTTCCTTTTCATAACTGGATAATTGTTAGAAACAATATGCTCTCATCACACTTGCTCAAAGCTCACTGAATAAATATCCATCTGGTGGAAATTGTCCTTGTCCAACCCATCTGTCACATAAAACTTCCAACCTTCCTAACGCTCAGACCCATACATTTGCATTCCAGGGATAGTTATTTGTTCCAAATTTTTCCTAGGAAGATTTCTCATCCAAAGTGATACCTGATTTAGAAGTTGGGTGATTTTAATTATTATTAATTCAAAATATTTCACAGTTCTGACTGGCTCCAGTCCCCCAGCAAATTCTTCACAACCAACTAGCACTTACCATAAAAAATTATTTGAAAGATGCAAGTAATATACCATCATTTGTTGGTATATTTGCTTGGAAACAAGGTTGTTCAACGGTATCAGCCTGGAGATGAGGCTGCTGAATAAAATGAACAGCAGACTGTCCAGTGCTCTTTCCTAGTACTAATTTTGGAGCAATTGTCATGCAGGGTGTCTATTATACATTGGCATCTATTAGACAGGGGTGTCTAATACGAAGTTAAAAGCATATAGGGGGGCTTTTATTAGAGAAGAGGACATCAATAAGATCATATAAGGTAATCTAATCATTATTTGAAAATGTTCTTTTCATTAACACAAAGAAGGCTCTGGGTCAACTCTTTCTGAGATGGACACCTTGGGGACCTGCAGTATGTGTCCGTCTTACAGAGAGTCAAATAAAGGGAGTAAAGAAAGGCAGGGACCAACTCTGAGTGTTCGTTTTACAAAGATGTTCGTCTTATAGAGGTGTCCGTTAAGAGAGAATAGATGATTTATGTGTCACTCACTACAGGGCTATGCTCTAGCAGTACCCAGTGACCCCTGGCGCCCAACTTTTGTTCCTGAGTGACTGGGAAAATCTCAGTTTTGGCATTAAAATCGTATGCTTGGTATACTGGATTTCACACGTTCAGAGCATTGGGCTCCCTGGAATGTTTCTAAGAGCATAGCCTTGTATTAGTCTTTTTTACCTACAGAAAAATTAGTTCTCTTACAACTGTGAACAAGTCAGTCTGCCTTTTTTTCAGGGAGATGATCCAACGCGAGGCAGTCCCAACTTTTGGCATGAATTTTTTCTTATGAGGGTAAGAACCAGTGTTTTTACTTTTTGAAAGCTTGAAAACTTGTTTGGTAAGGAGAGGTAGTCACCATGGTAAAGACATGTCTTTTGGCTAAAAATGCGAAGCATGTGTAACAAAACAAAATAAAACTATACAGTATTAACAATGATTTATGCTGCAATAGCTTGGCAACAATTTTAGTGAATAGGTATGACTTTAATTTTTTTTTTTCAGGTCAATGCCATTTACCTGGAAAAGTGTATAGACAAGCTCAGTGAAGAGGAGCTTATGGATGTAAAGGTAAAGGTACTAACAAGCTGCGTTTTAGAACTGACATTATTTTAGTACAAATTTTCAAGATTTTATTATAAAAATGTAGTGAATTTCTGAGAAATCTAACCTTGGCAAACAGTGATCAGTACTATAATATGAAGTTTATAAGAGTGAGTGTTAGTAACTCTTCTAATTCAATTCAATTTCAGGAAAACATCAACATATTGTTTGCTCAGTGTTGCATTGCATTAAGAGGAGATCATCAGATTAAGCTGGTCAATGCTTTGCAGGTATACAATAGCAAAGGTTGCTTTCATGATACCACATTATACACAGGACTGAAACAGTCCCTTTCATAAACACCCCATGAGAAGATAAAGAACACCACCAGGGTCTACATTCCATGCTTGTTTTGAACATTTATGTTGGTTCTTTAAAATAGTTCTCTACTAACCATAGGATTGTATACACAGTGACACATCAGGTACCCAAAGTGTGAACTCAACACTATTTTGTACCAGTACCGAGCTACATGTAAAGGAAGGATGAAGGAGACCACAGCAACAGCTTCATATAATGATCATACATAATTTTCTCTGCTCTAGTTAGTTTGTCTTGTTTTTAAATAGCTTAGTTAATTTTATTTATTTTTAGATTTGTGTTATTACTGTAGACACATGTACATTTTTGTAATGAGCCTTCTTTTTAGACTTGCTAATGAGATAATGAGATGATACCATGACATTTTCAGACACTTTGTGCAGTAGTTCGAGCAGTGTACAGAAAGAGACTAGGAGACCATGGGTTTGATGTTATTAACATCTTGATTGGTTTTGATGCTGCTGAGGCACAGATGCAGGTTTGTGGATTACAATGTACGCACAACCCTTTGATATTTTTGTTTGATATAGAAGTCATCCCATCTAAAATGTGTTTATAAATACAAGTCTTTGTGTTGTCTATATTTTCTTAGGGGTTGTTGGAAAGTTTACATACATTTCTTGTGGGTGATTATCCAGGTAAATAAGACAGAGTCTAATCATTAAGTCAGCAGTTACCACCACCTGAAAAATCACTTGTTAACCATCTCATTCAAAGTTGACAGCAAAATAGCGGCTGAACAAAAATTGACAGCGACTGTTGTAATAATTTAAGAAGATGTATCTGAAAATACTCTCCTGTTTAGTTTCTTTAGAACCAGTAACATTGTAGTAATGGCTTAACTGACAGACAACTAATGATATCACAACTTAATTGACTTATCATGTGAATGACCAGAGTTAAATACATTCTACATCAAGTGACAGGATACAACAAACTTGAACTCTGAAGATGACTACCGCACAGGTTGTCTAAACGTCAGTTGCTGTCAACAACAGTCCTTTAAAGATTCATGCAGGAGTACACTAACTTTGATGATCATATTTCACCTACTCACAGATCTTTGAGTTATCAGTAGATACAAAAATTATGTGATAACTTTGTAAAAATAAAAAAAGGCGTCAAAGTTTGTGATGTGGTGAAATTATTCTGAACAACTTTAATTTAAATCTCTCTCTGTAGTGAGCTTAAAGAACCTGTCATTAAAGTTGGCGCTAATACTTGTCACTGTAAGTAATTTGTTTGTTTGTGTGTTTGCATTTTATGTTGTTTTAGCAACAGTGTCTGACTAGTTAATCTAGTTATGGCTTTCTTGAAGGGAGAGCTGAAAGATCCATTTTCTTTGTACCTCCATATTGTTTTACAGTACTTTTTTGGTGGTAACAGTGTGTACTGGTATGTTGTCATTTTAGGCAACAGACAATGTCAGTCAAAATACAATCGTGGAGTACATTATGATAAACAGTATATTTGAAGCTGTCATTCAGGTAAGCTAAGAAATTCAGTTGTTTCTAAAATTATGTCCGTCACTCAATCTTTTCTCAATAAGATCACTTAAAGATGTAAAGGGTATAGAGATTTTTAAGGGAAGATTTTTATGAGGCAATGAAAGATGCAAGACTGACTCTTCAGAGGGTTAATGGTTTTAATGAAAAAGTAATTCTTAAGAGAACTGAGAGAGATTACTTTACTAAAATTACGTATTAGTGTGGAATTAGTATGGTAATATAGCTCAAACTGAGGAGAATTTTGGGTGAATATCCAGCCAGAATTGGATAGGTCACTACATGTGAATATAATAGTATAAGTTGGCTATTTTTAAAATAATTTAAGAGAATTTAGCTTTTAAAAGCTACATGCAAACCTCTTTGATATAGACACCAAAGGCATGAAGCCAAGTGTTGACATCATGGAGATGTCTACATTTTAGAGCTGTCTATATTACCGACGTGTTTGTATAACAGAGGTGTGCGTACAGTAGAACCTCGATAACTCGCACTCTGACAACTTGAATTCTGCACGAACTTGAACTAAATTTCCTTTCCCTCGATCAAAATTTCACTGAAATTTACCCCAATAACTCAAATTCCCTGCTAACTGAAACTGTTTTTTGTTTCCCTTCAGAGTTCGAGTTACAGGGGTCCTGCTGTATTATATTCCCCCTACTCTTTTATTTGAGTATTGAACTGAATCTGGGAAATGTGTTTTTAGGTCCTTGCTGATCCAGTAGCCAGACAGCAGCATGGTTATGAGGCAATGCTTCTTTTGACAATTCTTGTTAATTACAGAAAGTATGAGGTGAGGAATGTGATATATTGTTTCTTTCATTTTATTGTTTTTTTATTTTTTTATGTACTGGCGAAGGCATGGATCGCGAGCTTAAAGAAGGGTTACATGAAGATGTTTGTGTCAATTTTGTAAAAAGAGTTAGTCCTGACAACCCAAGCTTCTGCTTAATTCAAAGCAGAATTCTTCACTCATCTTCAGCTTACTGTACATGTTCAAATTGATCATTTACCACCCTACCATCTAATACTGACTGTTTCACTAATATTTATTTGTAACCGTAAAATACGTGTATGCTACCATATAGTGTCCTAATTATGTATGTAACTGACCTGTACCTACAATAAGATGAAAAAAGTGTCAATAAACAAGTCATTCATCCATTCATTCATTTTTAATTCATGTTTGTCACTGTCGTCAACATTATCACAGTTTTTTTCGTAGGTTGAGCCCAATATAGGAACTAACAAAATTAAAAGATTAAATATTTTAATATGTTTTTTCTTGCATGTCTTTTAATCAGGCATCAAATCCGTACATTGTGAAGCTCTCAATCTTGGATGATGAGTTGGCCTTAAATGTAAGTCTAACGAATCTAATCCATGTATATGTATCCTTAAACAGCCTTTATATGTATCAGTTTGGAACATGGGTTATTGTGAAGCTATTGTGCAGAACTGTGCCATAACCCAATCCAATTCTTTTTTAGGGTTTTGGCTGTGTAATATCAGCTGCGCTCACTGACTACAACAGGTAAAGATCACTAACTTGTGCTTTTATGAAGTAAAGAGTGGTAATAAGTGCAAGGTTAAGAACAGTTTGTATTTGTTTGTTCAGGAAACATGCAGCTATGCTAGAGCAGGCATCTGGAGGATTGATCAGTACCATAACAAGCTTTGTAAGTTGTGTATTATTTGTTTTGTATTTTATTTTACTCAAATAAGTACACTGCTCCAGAATAACTGCCACTGTGATGTTAAACAGCCAAATCATTACTGGTACAACTATAACTGCACAAAGCGTGTTCAAAGGTGAACACTTCTTTCTTTTGCTTCGTACCGTTATCTTGAGACCCAAGACAGTTCTATAATCTTGTTCGTTGATGTGAATCCTGTGGTATCCTCTATGAGCACTCATGGGACCCCACCATGTTACATAAACCCTCTACTTAACATTGGTTGAAAATAAGTCCTGTCCAGTCATCCTAGATGAACGGATTTTCCGTTTAAGCTACATTCATGGACAAAAGTCTTGGAATACATTTAAATTTGTGGGTGTTTTTTTTAATCCCCACAATGCCTACGTAACTAAATTATAAACTTAGACAGGAACGCAACAGCAAAGGGCAAACAAAATTTTAGTTCTGCTTATCTTTACGACAAGCTACAAGAATATTTAATTTTTTCAAGTACTGACTTTGCATCCGAACCCATGACATTTTTCTTACCGTCTATGACCACTGTCCTTGGGTAAGGCCTTCTCTATTCAATGTGAAGCCAAAGATGTTTTAAAGTATCAGTAAAAAATATGTGCCTTCTGTCGATAAGCCTCGTATACCATTGAAATACAGTAATGTAACTTCTCTGAAAGGATAGTGTTATAGACATCACATAATTTCTTAATTTTTCCTAACACCTCCATTCTCTTGCTTCCTATTTAATCATGAGTGCACTATATCTCATAGGTTGGAAGCATGTTTGTTGCTGAGACAGAGAGTGCAGAGTGTTTTAGGTATTAATGTATGTAGCTGTGATACCTTCATCGCTGAACTGCAAAAAATGTCACTTTCCTTCTTTGCTGTCTAAAGAAATTTGCATTTTTCACTTGCACCTTCATTGCATTCAGCATTGGTTTTTTACCCTGTGATTCATGTTCTTCTCACTCACTTTATTACTGCATTATATTGTCAAACAGATATTGATAGTAATGGCCTCTTTTAATTTTATCTCTTTCTGTTTAGCACCAATGAAGCTGTACTTCTGGCATTATATGAAGCAGTGCATCTCAACAGAAACTTCTTTACTGTGCTTAGTCACGTTACGGTCAGTTTAGTGTAGGATCAAAAGTATTTGACTTCAGAATTATTTTTTTACGGCTCTAAGCTGATATTGGGAGCAACCTTCAAGCCTTCACAGACTTGAACAAATTTCAAACATAGGCTGAAAACCAGGTGACATAGGGTTGATGAAACTGTAAATAAACTGATCTCATTCCGGCCCAGCCTGAACACTGAAACATGTTGAAGTATGAGCACAGTAAAAACAGAAAATTCTTAAGTCAACTTTTCAGCAAAAAGATGTGACAAAAATAAAAAGGGCTTTCTTAACCCTACCAGATAGCAACTACGTAACTAAGCAAACTAACTTAGTAAGCAACTAAGGGTGCACTAAAATTCAGAACTGACCGTTCACAATAGTCATTTCAAAAATGAAATAGCAGTTTATCTTGAAATTTTCGCATAAACCCATCATTGTCAAATGTAGCATTTAGGAATAGACTGATCTGGCCCTATAGTACTGATTAATAGTGGAGTTCTCTTTATGACTGTACTAGTTTGGCTGGCCAGTTGTGACAAATGGTTAGTGTTCTTATACGTCTCCTTATGTATCCCATTTGTCTTTAGACTGCACCAGGGTCCAGTCCTCCTCCATCACCTACAGCAGCACCGCCTGTTGTTGAAAGAACAGCAACTGGTAAGAAGAAAGCTTAACTATGAAAAAAATGATCAATTTTTCTTTGGTAAAATCCTAAGAAATAATTAATGCTATGCAAAAGTTCTGTGGAAGAGGTTTAATTTGAATGGTAACACCATAGGATTTCATCCACAGACTAAAAAGTTAGAACTACATACTAAATTAATAATTGTACCATGTGAAAGTACTGCTGAAGAGGTTTCATTTGAATAGTAACACCATAGGATTTTATCCACAGACTCAATTGTTAGAGTGCGCGATAGCCTCATCATAACCTGGTTTAGGAGGGAAACGATTAAGCCAGTGTCTGCTGTTGCTACGTGTTTTGTAAAGTGTTGCTACGTGTTTTGTAAAGTGTTCTTCTGCCGTTTTCATTGTAGCTGCAGTAATTGAGGATGTTCCTGCAGATTTGAGTCAACCCACCAATCTACTGGTTACTTTACTGACATACTCCTCAATTGCCCTGCAGAATACCAAAGGTATTTTATAGTTACCTATTATAGCCTACAGAATAGGCACTATTTTTTCGCGTTTTTCGGGCGAGCGATAGCACAAAGCGGACGTGGAGCGCCTTCCCTCATCGCGCGTGTCTCGCACCCTCACTCACTTCGCGCTTGCCTTCCCTCAAAAAACGCGAAAAAATAACGTCTGTTCCGCAGGCTTTTGCTACTAAATGTGCAAATCAGTGATACAATAACTCTCATAATAAGTCAAGTATTGAACTTAAGAACCACATTGAGCCTAAGTTCATAGAGGGTTACAAAGAACCAGTGAACACAGGCACGATTTTCCCTCCTCCTCCCCTCCTGAGCTAAAAATGTCAGACAAGTTTTTTTTCCCACGGTACTTGCCGTTGGCAGTACTTCTTTACAACTGCTTGTTTTATCGTGCGATCCACAATCTTGTGTTAAACATATTCTTAGCTGTTGTACTACCTTCTTTTGAACTGATTTTACTTTTCTATGGTTATGTTTGACGAAAAATTCATCTCAACAAGAAGCGTTTGTAAGGCTAGTTTTAGTTTTTGCGCGATGAAAAGCTGGAAAAAGTGCACGTGCAATCGCAACTGTTGTATTTATCGTAATAACGTTTAAAAATTGTTGTTGTTGCAGATGACAAAGGAATAAGCAATGCCAAACTCTGCCAGGTTATTTTAACGTGTATTGTTGAGGTGAGGGAAAGTGATCAGAAAGATGATACTGTAATTGCTCTTTCTACCTAAAAATACTCCGCGTGGGTTAGTCTGCTGATTAACGTGCTTTTGCTCTTAGTCCAAATTTAAGAACGTGTCAGCTACCGTCATTATAGTTATGGCTTTAGTTAACCATCCTCCTTAGTTTACGAACATATATGGTTTATTCATTTCTATAGGATCAATATGCCAATGCTTTTCTCCACGATCCAAACATGACCTTTTCTGTGCCTCTTCACAGGGCGGTAAGTGAAAGAAAAATATAGTTTTGTCTTTATGCTTTTGATTAAAATGTAATACCACTAGATGCTAAGATGACTGATCTTTTGAAACTTTTTTCTAGTCTACGTGCGGGCGTCTCTGCGCCAGGAGAGAACTCTGGAAACTAGGTTGGGAGAAGGAAGAATTCGGGCAAGCGAGGAATGGGGGAAAGGGGGAAAGGGAACGCCTGCAACGACGCTATTGTTTACACCAAACCGCCCCCTTTTTCCCTGGCCTGGCTGCATAGCTGGTGTCTTTTGTTTTGTTTTGTTTTGTTTTGTTTTGTTTTTTCTTTTGTGGTTTGTAAGTAGGAGATACAGTCGTGCGAAAGCCGGAATGAGGTCCAACCAGAAAACGGTAGGAGAGGGGTCGAGGGAAGAAGTCTCTCTCCTCCTCGCCCCCTCATCGTTTTCTCATTAGACCTCGCGCGGCCGTGTAAATACGAACCAGAAATGCAAATCGCACCAAAAAATCCGCCAGCTACGCCAGCTACCTTCTCATCCTTCAGCCGTGGCCGAATTCTCCCTTCCCTTTCCTCTTTTAACCCCTTCCACGCAGGCTAAATAGCTCCCATTTGGTTATTTTTCAGCAACTGTATCACAGAGGAGCTGTTATTGAGAAGAATGCGCCATCAAGACCACTGGCCTGTGCTTTGCTAGGTATGTCCAGACAAAGAAAGGGATTTACGGCAAGGAGCCCAAAAGTGTTACCTCCTTTGATTAAGTCACATTCTTTCATGCAGACATTCACCAATCAGAAGTCGAGGACAGTTTCTAACTGGCTTCTGATTGGATTAAATCTGTGCGAAAGAATGTGAATAAATTAAAAGCAGTCACACGTTTGGGCTCCTTGGTGTAAACACCCTGTCAGCGGAGACTTTCTTTCGCTTGCTCATTTTATCCCTGTTCAAGAAGAAGACAAAAGGAAGCTCTTCTCGCAGGTGATGTTTATAGTGAGTATGTGACTATCGATGGAATACTGTTCCTCTTATTGCAGTACTCTGTTTGAGATGACAAAGATAAAAGGCAAGATCGCGAAGTGTACACCTCGCCTTTACTGGAGAGCAAAATGTTATGCTATGTTTGTAAAAAATAGACTCGTAACCAGGTTGATTTATATTCCACTTAGATAGCTAGAGTAGCGTCTGGTTTGTTATTAAAAACATTTTTGAAGAGTTTGAGTGAGACCAGAAAATATGAGGCGCTCAAGAGATTCTTTTTTTTTACTCCTGTTACTGTAGAAACTGACATTCTCGTGTGATGTTTTTAATTCTTTTTAGATCTTATGGTGGAGTTTATCGTAACCCACATGATGAGAACATTGCCAACTGACTTGTACGGGTATGTGATTGATACAGTATTCATGTTATAACTTTGATGAGAAATTGTGCATCCGTAGCTCCGTGGAACTTTAAAAAGCCGACAAGGTTGTGTTTTTGCATATGAAGTAGACCGAAATATTAGTCCCTTTTCACCGGGTGAGAGGACAAGTTTTCACGGCAGTACTGGAGAAAGTAAGCGAACAGCCTGTACTGCGGGCAGGTCTTTTGGGGGGAGGGGGGTGGGAAGGGGGTGAGGGATGGGGGATCGATGGAGTGGTAAAATAGTAGAGTACCACAATTTGCACGAATTGTGTCGCGAGTCACCCCCTCTAACCATCTCCTTTCGCCTTACGCCCACTCCATCCATTGCATTCCCTAATCTTTCTCTACTTTGACAATCAAGCTTGACCTTGGATAAACGGAGTGTTCTTAATAGGGTTTTACTAGGGGAGCCCCAGAGCGGCCCCTTCTTCGTGTAGAAACGTAAGGGGGATAAAGTCATCCGTACAAGTCATGAAGTAGGTTAGCGACTGCAGGACATATCGCATCGCATGGTAAACAGAGAAGGAACTTCCTCAACTCCACCCCTCCTCCGTTTCCCTTTTTTGCGTTGGTAATGTATGCATGTTGGCAGAACAGTCCTGACAGAATGCCAGCATTCTATTATTGAAAGTCTTTTCCCAATAACAATTTTCCTTTTATTTTGTAATTACTCAGTTTTAAAATTCTTGTAAAATAATGAATTCACTATCGACTAAAATATCTTTAAACCACTAAATGTAACTGAATTTTTGTTTCCCTTTTGCAGCAAAACGTTTGGAATCCTTCATCGCATGTTGTGTTACCAAAAGCGATGTCGTGTTAGGTTAGCTTACTCATGGAAGAGCTTCTGGACTGCTCTCATGAACTTCCTCAAGTTCCTTCTTTCCAATGAATCTGTTCTCACAAAGACCTGCAATATCTTTTCCCTGGCCTCACAGGTTTGTCCGACGACTACACGAATTTTTTGTGGCTAAAAAAGATAAGGATTGTTAAAATTTGTAGACATAATCGAATAGCTCTTTTCTCACACAAGAGGTCTATACAACGGAAATGTGTTAATAGGGAGCAAAACGGCCAGTTTCACATCAAATTCATTTTTCAGTCATTAGATAGGAGCTATAAAAGGTTAACTGGTCCAATGCCACCAGGCAATCTACTGCCATAGTTGTTAACATGTTGTTAACATGCGATAGTTTTACGAACGCCAATCCTGTCCTCTTAGGCGACGTTCTCTCGTCCTAGGCCAAATTTTGCCTTTCATAACTTTACATGCCTTGGGCATTGAGTGGTTGTTGCGACAGAGATAATGTTACTATTCGCATAGACGAGTGTGGGACTTACTCGTTAATTCTTTAATGCGTCCATTTGTTTACTTTCTTGTCATAGGTTGTTAACATTTTCAACCTTTTTATCACCTATGGAGACACATTTCTCCCTTCTCCAACATCCTATGACGAGCTGTATTATGAAATCATCCGAGTTCATCAGATCTTTGATAACCTCTACTCAATGGGTAAGTCAGTGATTTAAGGCATTGACGCCTCTTTTGGTCAATTTTAGTCGCGCATTTTCTCTACTATTACAGCTCATACGTAGCGAATCCCTCGCGTGATGTGAAATTCTAACGGACAGATATTGTTCGGGTAGCCCCCAAATCTCCCCTTTCAGGTATTTGTTGCTACATCCGCTCTACACCTACAGTTAGCTTCAAGAGGAGCTTCAGAAACCACGGCGACGACGGCAGTAAAGACATCTCTGAAAAATGAATTTACGTTTTTTCATACTCTGGCATCACTTTTGTCTTGCCTCGCCGGAGTTATCGTTTTGTCCCGTTTTCGTTGCCGTCGTCGTAATGGACCTTTGCTCAAGCTTCCTACAATCTCTTATATTTTCCCGCGGTTTACAGCGGCCGCCAAATATTTGCGATCTGATTGGTTCATCGCACTTACTACGTCTCATCCGATTGGGCAAAAACTAAGAGGCCTTTAACAATAGTAGATCACGTGGTGCTAGGATGTTCCTCCCTCCATGTTAACAGCCCATTGGTCGAAAACCCTCACAACGTTTCTTAGTGCCACTGTTAATCAGGATGTTTGGAAATCCACAGCATTAAGACATTCAACAAACGGTGGCGACTGGAAAGACGCAGCAGCCCGTCTCGCCAGCTCCTTAGTAAATGTCAGGTGAGATGAGATGAGAACTATATTTTTTGGACTTTTTAGTAATTTTAATTCTCCATTCGCTTATTGCCGTAAGTCAACAACTGTTGTGAAAAATTAACCTTGTTTTTGCACAATTGAACTTTAGAGCAATCATTAACCATTTCACACCAAAGATCGATTCATGGGCAGCTGTCAATCATCTTACGTCACTATCTTCTGAGCAGGTACGATTTTTTTAGGGACGGACCTTATGTTACCGGTGCGAAGTACAAAAAGATATTCTTGCAAGGGAAAATTATTAACAATTATTCCTCGAGTCCGAATTTGCTCTGAGTCAATAGCTCATGAGGCCGAAGGCCGAATGGGCTATTGACTCAGAGGCCATGAGGGCGAGAGGAATAATAGTTTTAGTAAAATCCAACTCATTGGTAAAAAATATCGAGAATAAAAACTTTTAGCTAGTTAAAGCTAGACTTTAATCCTTTTTTGCCGCCAAAAAGCCCGCGCTTTTCGCTACTGGTGGGCTATAACATTTCGCCTAGTAGTAGCTCAACCAATCAGAACGCAGCAGTAATAATAGACCACTAGTTGGATTTTACTAAAATGAAATATATCTAATGAATGCACGTTAAAAGAAACTAAAAATATTATCTTCTTTCACTCTCAATTTATGTTTTCTTTTCGTTATTAAAGAGCCCTGCTTGGGTCTTACTGCCCTTAGATGAAGGATAAAAAACGACAACAACAGAAAAACTCTTCCACGAGAGAAGCAAAATGTCGGAATTGTAATGGAAATGTTCAGTTGATTATTCTATTACTCATTGTGTCACTGCGGATATCTTTTCAGGTTTTGAGCGTGATTCGTAGTAACTATGACACGCTAACCTTAAAACTACAAGAGAATTTGGATCATTATGAAAAGTACTCCGAGAAACCGAAAGAGGCGGCCTTCTTTACCCAGCTGGTAAGTTCATGGATGAAGGTGCGGACGTACAAGAGCCTCACAGAGTGAGCTCTGGGTAGGAGATGTTATTGCCGGTCGTAATCTTGCATGTACATTTAAATCTATTCATTTTGATTGCCGAGGGTCTAAAAAGCTATGAAAATCTTTTCCGGCTCTCGAGACATAACTATAAAGAAAATTATCGTACTCACAGCAAACACAGTTTAATTAGGGGCCTAGCCTACCATCTATATATCTCGTGGTTTACTGACGATTATTATTTCTGCGATAGTTGAATTCAACAGAAGTTGGGATGACGTCGTAATTCGGTGAAAACTGTCTTTGCTGCGAGTAAGAAAATTTTCTGTATAGCATGAAAATGGCCTACGAGTTTTTAAGAAACGGACCCCAACCAGTGACTTTTGAGTACCTTTGCTACGAGAAAGGTGTAAATATTCGGGTGGGAGTCCTTTGGCTCGTAGAGACTGCTAATCATGACCCCAAGTTCCATCCCTTCCAAAACGCATTATGTTAAAACTGAACTGGTGATGTTAATGTCTCTTTTTTGCCCTTTAGGTTCGTTCTATCGTGATAGATGTTCGACGAACTATACATGTCAATAATCTGGAACAGTTTAGCTTGCTTCAAGAGTTCGCCTCGATCCATTGAGTCAACTTAAGTAGTCGCAGAGCTCGGAACAAACACTCCATATAATAATGAAGGGAGCTCTTTTCAAGTTGCGTGGTGCGGCGTTGAAAGGCGTAAACATTAAAACTATCGCGTAGCAAACCTTTGTCCATGCACCTATTGTCGTCGGTTTCCTGGAGATTGGCTTCAGTATTCGCTTAAAAAAAACACTGGTGTCCCCGAGCTAGTTTTTTAAAAACTGTCCTCTATTTCTGTTTGGGTGATCTTTGTACAAAGGGTGCGCAATGTGTAAAGGTTTAGTCGTTCCCAAACTGCTGAAGTTAAGCGACATAGGTGAAGTGCAAAGATAGGGCTGAATTTTTTCTGGTGGTATCTAGACAACAGAATCTACACGGCCTCTATATTTCCAGAGTCCTGGGAATTGAGGGAGATGCGAGTGTGTAGCATAAAGGTTAAGTTAAGAGGGGGATCAGCGCTTCTCGCTGGCACCTTCAGTTTTCAGCATGCTGTAACCAATGGGGGTTTTTTAAACACATTTTCTCATTCGATAAGTACTATCATGTAAAGTAATCCCTCGTTTTGGGAATCTTATTGTAGATTAATTGTTTAATCTTGAATGAGACGAAACATCTTGACTTACGATAAGAATAAGAAACAGAAAGTACTAAAGAGTTCGAAACAAAGAGCAACTGACACTTTTTGGTGTTTTCCTCGACTTTCACCTGTTCTCCGCAGCTCTATAGCAAGAGGTTTTTTTTGGAAATGCTTGGGTATGTGTTCTTTGATTTTCATATCTGCGACGGTCGGCACAAGCGAGTCTTTAGGTCTCGTGGTGAAGTTATATCTGGTAATAACTTTGGAGAAAATATATTTATTAAAGCCTCGTTTATATGGGGAAAAGTTGTCCCGGGAAGAAGAGTCACCCTTTAAAACAAGCTAACTTTAGCAAGCGTTTAGCAGCTGACAACTTGAGCAACAACAGCGTTTGCGCATGCTCTGATTGTCTTGCCTTGCCCGAGTTGGCCGGGTTGGACCAGCCAAAGTCTATTGGCCCGGCTAGGAAGGTGAACCGGCTAGTCGGGTCACCCTTCTAGCCGAGCCAATTTTTGGTTTCTCATGAAAACGGTTCGCTAAGTTGGCTCACCCAGGGTAGATCCGGTGGACGAATGGCTGTTCTATCCGGGAATAATTTTTGTTAGGTACGTCAACGGACCTGAAAAGGTTTTGTGGGACAAGTGCCATTTGGGGCAAACGAACGGGGAAATATCCAAAGAGTTTTCAATTTTTACTTCCCAAATGGATTTAACATGGGTGCTGGAAAAGACTTCGGTTATTTAAACGAAGTCTAACTTAGTGGGTTATTTTAAGAAGAGAAATGTTTTTTTAAATCTACACTATATGCTTTAATGAAACTGTTCACGATAAATGGTGTATATGTTGTAGTTAGTTTTTTATCTCGGGTAATTTTTGTTTTTCTTTCGTCTTCAGGTATGCTAATGTATGCTAATGAAGTTGGAACAAAGGAAAAATGAAAATTGCCTGAGATAAAAAAATTAACTACAACATATACATAAGAGCGTTCGACAAACCGATAATGGCTTAGAACGTGGTTTTGTTAAATATTGGCTACACTCTGTTTAAATAACTGGCCCAGAGAGTTTACAATTCTTGGCTTAAAAATTACATCACCATGAAATGTTCGCTTATGTGAGCTGGTCAGGAAGGTACCTGTTTCCTAAATCGTAATAAAACGTGGACCATAAACTACTACAAGCTATGTAATGTGGATATAAAATGAGGTTTAAAGAAAGAGAAAATAAATTTTACGTTAATAATACACATTTTCTGTTGCAGACCAAACTGCTGCATGCAAGCTTGCCTAATCGTTGCATATTGCGCAGCAACTAACCACTTCCTTGAAAACTCCCAGCAGCTCCCACCACTAAGCTCAGTGATTAGTAAAAGATCACGTGTCCTCGCGGGAGGGTAAATTCCGCGTGCGTTAGATTAAATTTCATGTCCTGTCTCATCCCCATTGGCTTATCGTCTTCATAAGCTCCTTGACGCATGCGCATACGTTATAATTTGCGCTGCGCCAAGTTACTCGTGGGTGGGGTCCCTTCTATAAACCACAAACAGGAGGAAGGGGAAACCTTTTTTTTCTTTTGAACTCCTCCCTACTGATTTTGCGTAACGAGTAATGAACTTGGTCTGTCTACGCTTGTTCAGTGTTTTTGCAAGGGAAGCCATTAAAATAAAAGGGAGCGAAAGGGCTAATATTGGCCAAAAATTGTTTTAAGTGAGCAAGCACTTGACTCAAGAGGATATCGCTTTAAAAACAGATTACAATATAGAAGTGCAAGCTCTTTAGTCTCTTTATTGATACGTTCGTGTGGGTTTGTTTATAATTTCTATTTTATTATTACTATTTAAGTTTTTTTGCTAGTTTTAAAAAAACAGCATGAACTAAGACCATTATGCAATCATAGCCTGCGAGCAAGCTCTTCATTTGGGAGAGTCGCCAGAAGTCACGCGAGAGCAGCACGCGAAAGGAGGCGCGAGTGCGTCCGCCCCTCGCTGCTTGCTAGCAGGCTATGCACTAAAAAATAAATAGATATTTAAAAAATAAATAGGACATAAATATTAAGGTTATTCAAAGCCTGCCGGGCGAGCCTTACCTTGCCTTGCCTTCCCTTCCCTTCCCTTCCCTTCCCTTCCCTTCCCTTCCGCAGAGGCCCCTTTGTGTTGTGGGGAGGCCGGGGAGAAAGAAAAAGGGAGAGCGCGGGACACGATGCCCTCCGTGCGCTTTCTATTTTTTCGATTATTGCTATTTCTATAGGGATACCTAGACTTTCTCAAAGTCCTTCGCTTCTCATTTCCGGTTCCGTTAGTTGGCTTGCTCTCTCGTTCGCTTTTGCCGCAAAAACAGCAACAACAAAAAATCTGTCGCTCCCGCTTCGCGCTCGTGAAAAAATTTGAGCTCGACTTCTAGTCAAGTCTAAGGAATACCCACCGGGAGCCTCTGCGGAGGAGAGAGAAAAAAACAGGAAAGATGAAAATATAATATATGAAACTTACTGATGCTCACGAGTTGCAGAAAATTTTACCCGATACTACTCGCTACGTTACGGTACATCTTAACAATGAATTTTTTTTTATTTCCTCGGTCTCTGCATTTGGTTCTGAGCAGGAGCGCATAACCCGGAGCGTTCAACTGCCATAAATTCGTGCAACGGCGTTTTTACAAGTGAGTTTATTTTTAGATAAGCTTTTCCCGCGAAAAATAAGTCTTCCACGAGGTCAATTTCTCCATTTGATCGTCCTTTAGACTGTTTGTAGCTCGCTTGGACCTTTTCACAGTCGGCTATTTCGAAGATTATTTCGATTCAATTCCCTTTGCGTGAACTAGGCGTTGTCGCCGATGAAGTAAACGTCCTAGGTTTTGCAAATCTTGCTCTGAACTGCTAGTTTCCGTGTAAATACTGAAATTGTCGCTTGAAGTACTGTCAGAAGACTCCTCTGAAGATTCCTACAAAACATATCGAAGGAAGATTTTTTGGGTCTCAATTCGCGGGAAAGGCTTATCTAAAAATAGACCTACTTGTGAAAACGCCGTTGCATAGGCGCAGTATGGAAGTTACACGGTCCGGGTCTATGGGCTCCTGTTCTGAGTTAATTTCGGTCCAAGTCCATTCTAATTATAACATTGCCGACGTGCTTAATGCGCATGCTCTATTGCGGGTCATTGAGCAGTGATCGCAGGCTCGGCATAAGAGGCCGCCAACGGTTCGCAAAATGGTACAACTTTGAATTTTATTGTATTTTATTGTTTGCTGGATGTTTTGACATTCTGCAATTTTAACTTTGTTTTATAATGGATTTTAGGATGAGTAGTCAGCAAATTGTTGATAAAGAGAACCATGGAGTCCTTGCAAACGTGGAAAATAAGGAGCCACAAAGGGTCGTGTCGATATTGAAATCTTCCCAGAGAATAAATTGTCCATTGGAAAAGAAATTGACGAAAGTAAGTAGTATAGCTTTGAAAACTCTAGTGTAAATTGCTTGGCTTACGTTATCCTCAGTAGCAAATGAACTAAAAGATAATTAGCGATTTTTTCCTTGGACGACTGCCTCAAACTGAGGCTTAATTAATAAGTCACTCGACTGTACTTCGACCAGTTATTTGCCTTAGGGAGGCTAGAACGTTTCATCCACACGTTTTTACGTAAAATAGTAACGTACGCTGCTCATGCCAAGATATAACTTTTCTTATCGCATTCAAGGCAAGAACGAGAATTCCTGTTGAACTTAATCAGGGAATCTGAAGTTCATATGTTTCTCGGTCTTGGCCGGCCGACAATTGCCAGCAATGTCCCGAACCCTGATTTTTGTGTTGCAAGGCTTCAGTCGCATATTTCTAAGGAGGCGAATCCTTGAGTAACCTATTACACTACTCTTCCTGTCATCATTTCCCTGGCTGGTCGCGATTGGCAGTTGGAAAGTTCATTATTTTGTCTGGAGTCAGTCAGGAGCGTTGCGTTTTATTTCTGAACTCCCCGCCTCTTGCCCTATGGATGCTGTAGTGGCTGTTTGTAGATGAGCAGATTTCTTCCACCCCAGTTACCCTTTGGAAAAAACCTTTCCTACCCCGCTAAGTTTTTGTTGGTCCCTTTAGAAACAGATTCCAAATACGTTATCTGCCAACGACACTCAACCTTAGCGGGGTATATTTGGAATAAAAATAGAACGTCCTTTTAGCCCTGGGCTCTCACTCCACAACAGAGGGGGCAAAGAAAGTCAGTGGCACTGATTTATGGAGAAGTTGTCCTTATGGGAGGTATTTATAGAAGGGAAATGTCGGAAAAAATTTTAATTTCTTCATATATGAATATCAGACCAAAAAGGAAATGAAATGTTCTGATGAAAAATTTTAACAGAAAAAAGTTATAAAGTTTTAGTGAATGTGTAAAGTTCTACATTGTGTGCTATAAGTATAATTATGTAATGGAAGTACCTTTTAGGGGTTATTATTTTATTTTATTTTGACTCAGATCTTATCATATATTTTTTTGTTTACAATGTTATTCAAACTAGTTGTTTCTTCTTTCTAGAAGAAAGTAACTGACTTCTATGAGCAAAGTAGCCGATGTGTTTCGTTGGCCATCAGTGCTTATTGAAACCCGTGGGTTTGACTGTAATAAATTACATTCATGGTTACTTTAACTTACATTTTTAACAGGTCTCATTCAAGAACTCTCCAGTGCATCACACAATAGTTCCTTACAGTACTGACTTGCCACATGTGTGGCAGGAAATTCGCAAACTTGACGAAGAGGAAAACTGGACAGAGAGAACACAAATTTTAACAAAAGAAGATCATAAATTATATCTTGAAGTGGCAAAGGTGCGAAAAATGTATCAGTTACAAGTGTTTGTTTTGATTCAATTTGAGACTCACTCAGAGAGACAAACTTAGCTTATTGTCCCTCATGAAATGAATTATTTTATTTTAAATAAATAATTTACAATAAATAACATACTTTGTAAAAGTACAATCCTTTAATAAGTTATTGTATAATAACAGTACTTGCTACTCACCCACAACCTTTTTTCGCATGCTGCTAAAATAATGCTTACGTACACATTTTGATATTTTCAGGTATATTTGGGAGAGCTGTACTTTTAGGTTCATCTTCTATAAGCCGAAAGGCCAAAAGTGTTATTTGCCCTGAAAGTCATAATACTGTATAAAAAGATATATATAAAATATATGATGAAGAACCAGATTGACATCCTAATTGACTATAAGAGTGCTCAAGAAAAAAAAATTATAGTTGAACTAGAGCAGAATACAAGTAGACTGATGGAACTGGATTAAATCTTGAACATTTATTGCTACTCAGAGTTTCATGCCTCTTGCGAGGTAATCATCAGGCAACTGACAAAAGTAACAGTTGCAATCAAAGATACAGGGAAAACAGAACAATAAATACTAGGTGTGGTGTATGGTGCGTGGCACGTGTTACTGCTAATTAAGTGTTTTTTACAACATGTTAAATTTGCAACAAAAACTGATCAGGTTAGGACAGTGTTTGTTTGAAATTTCTTTGAGTGTCTGCAACCTGAGATAAGTTCATTTCTATTGTTCAGGGAAGACATTTCTGGTGTACAACTTGTAAAATATTTCTCCCACAAGCACAGTGACTTATCTCAGGTTGCAGACACTCAAAGAAATTTCTACTAAACACTGTCGTAACCATTAATTTTGGCAGTTGCCTGATGATTGCCTCGCAAGAGGCATGAAACTCCTGAGTAGCAATAAAGGTTTAAGATTAAATCCAGTTCCATCACTCTACTTATAAAATATACATAAATGTCAAAGGAGTGACTCTTGTTTTTTTCTTTGGAAAGGAGTGGCTTGAGGAGCTCATAGCTGATTTACCCTGCTATAGGTAAGAAAACATATCATGTCAGTCTTATCTACAACTCTGACCTCACCCCATATACCTATATTAATATAATATACACAGTTTGTATATTTAACTTGTTATTGACAATAAATTGTATTGGCTAATAATGATAAATGATTTGATAATCACAGGCAGAAAGTTACAGATATGGCAACAGCTCTTGATGACCTTCCCGAAATAGTTCATCCAGAAATACCTAGCATTGGGGATGTGAATGCAGAGGGTGCTGACAATATCAATGACCTGGACACAGAACTCATGGCAGACTTTTCGAAGTTGCAAATTGATCCTGGTGACTGTCCACGTACATTTTCACCCATAGGCAGTGAGCGCACATCACCCGAACAAGGTTTGTTGAGTTAAAGGTCTGAATTCATACACTTTAGATACTATTTCAAAGCAAACTCATCATGGTATTTAAGAAGATATGATGTGATTAACAAGGCTTTTCAATAATTAGATTGTTTAGAATTGAAAGCATGAAAAAGGGTGAACTGGTCTTTGTCTGATTATTTTATGCATTATTTGGCTAAAGCTATACTTTTAGCCATTGGATACTAAAGCAATCTTCCATCTCTTTAAACTGATTCTTTAAGCTTCTGTCACATACAGCAGCAATTCATTCACAAGAAGACCTGCGGTTTCTCTGCCTAGTGTTACAGGGCCATTTGGGTGGTTGCACTGTTGGATGTTAGTAAAGGCATGGTGACTGAGCAGTGAAATGCGAAATTCAAGTTTTGTTAGTCCTGGGTAACGCCTTGCCATCACATTGTTCTCTTAGACAAGAAACTTTGCTCCGTTGTGGTTGAGTTTGAATCTTTATTAAATTTATTTATGAGAAAGTATTATAGAGCTTTCTATCTGTTTTCTGGTTGCTCCTGTTTTTCATGAAACAGTTCCTCTTTCAGATAACCTTACTGACAGCAATGAAGACATTGACAAACTCCTTGTGCATGATGAAGCAACTGAAAATGCAGTGCTAACGGATGATGTCCTCCATACGGGGAATGAAAGAACAGATAACTTACTTAAAGAAATAACTAGAGAAGAACACCCTTACAAGTCCGCTGAACTGTTCAAGGTAAATCCTGCTGATCTTCAGAATGAGTTTCAGGATCACAGAACTTTAGAAGATCTTAGCAGTAGTGAAAAGACAGCAGAAGTTGAAGATATGTTTAAGCAGGATGCTGAAAATCAAAAAGAAGAGGATGATCAGTTTGGAGATGATGCATTCAAACCAGCTAGTGAAGGTAATAAATACATGTTGTAGAACCTCTGAAAGGTTTGAATCAAGGAGTCATTTCATAAGTAGCAAAACTGTTAAACTGCGATAAAAGGTGGTTTGAAACACATCAATGACATTAAGAGTCTTCATATCCAATAGCATCGTGGCTTAACTGAGAGACAGCCAATAACATTGCAACTTTATTGACAAATCCAGTCAATAACCAGAGTTTAATGCCATAAACTTGACGTGATTCAACTCACTTTGACGCCGAAATTGACTACCACACAGGTTGTCAAAATGTCAGTCACTGTCAACAACAGTCCTATTCAAGACTATGTACACTTGCAAGATCATATTTTACCTTCGTATGACATTATACAGAGATCATCCTGATTCATGTATATTTTAGATATTTGCATTAATAATCAATGGTAATCATAAAGTGTCGCATGGGTAGAGTCATCTCAATTGCAAGTGATGCTTGACCTAATGTCAAATTCTCCTTTCAATTCACAAGCAATTACAAGGGAATTTGTAAGGAGAGACTAGCAGTTATACAGAAGGCAATTGAAGCTTTTCCTCAGGCACCCCTTCTTATTGTGCAATAAATTAAATATTATTGTACTGTTTTTGCCTCTTAATCTCTCAAGCACAGCACCAATTTGAATATTTAATCCATCATTAAAAAGATATTTAATCCATCATTAAAAGAGCAAACTCACAAAATTCAAACTGACAGCATGCTCAGACTTAACTTTAGTGATAAGAAATGTGACTCCAACAAATAACATTGTCTCTTTATTTGTTTATAGCCATGTGGGAACTAGATTATCTTGAACAGTGTGGTACTAACAACACAAACTTTAAAGAGGTAACTTGCATTTTTTGACCTAGTAGAAAATTATTCAAGTATGACTCAAGCTAACGCACAACTTTTCTAAAAGCAAACCTATAGAACCTTTTTCTCCTTTGTTAATGAACTCTCTATGACTATTTGATTAATATTTTGACTAATGAAGCCATTTAAATTTGATTGTATATAGATTAGAACTTTATCTATAATTTATAATTAAGTGTGTAGAGGCATTTTTAATTAACATTTTTCAGCTGCACTAGATTATGGTTATTTTAGGGCTGTCCATTCTATCTTTTATTTCAACTACTTGTGTTCTAGTAATAGACATTCTTTGTTATTCCAAACACCATTCCCTCTATAAATTCTTGTCCTCTTTGACTGGTAGGTTTGTTTTTCTAAGGTCTGATTACATGAATGAATGATCTAAAATATGAAAGTTGACCCCTTTTTAGCCCTTTGTCCAGTTTGTATAAATTACGTGGATATATGTGTTACAGGTCAAAATTGTATTCAAAGGTCAATTTAATAAAACTCTTACAAGTTTAATTTACAAGTATCTATTGTTTTCAGACTCTACACTCAACACTTGTAGAAGTTCTATTAAATTGACCCCAGAATTTAATTTTTGATCAGTAACATATGCAGGTAAACAAGACAAAATTAAAAAAATATCCTCTATCTAGAGTATTCTTGCATAACTTACATGGGAAAAAACATACAAGCTGAAGGGGCCTATTCCAGTTTAGCAATTTTTTGTACAGGTTACCGTTTATTTTAAGCGATGTTTGATTGCATTCATTTTAATTTATGTCTGTGAGTATCCAACAACATAAAGAGATGTATATGATGATTGAAAAATATTTTTCAGATCCTATTCTAACAAGTAAATTCAGTTGTGTTATTATTAATTTGAACTGTAGTTTGTTTACCTTTCATTTAGTCTTTCTTCTTCTTACTCTGTCTTTCCATTTAAGATGTTATCTGTGCATTCCAGTGAATGTCTTTTATAAAGGAATTTTTAGATCAGCTAAAGCCATAGATCCAATTTTTATAATTTTCTCGATTATCTAGTAGCCAAAGCCACATATCATTCAACCAGGGACTTAGCTCTCTTCCATTTCACTCTAGACATTTGTTATGAATTATTTACGATCTCTGAGTTTATCAGACAGATTATTCCCCTTGTCACCCCAAATACTTTTACTGGTTCTCTTTCTATTGGCCTGTAAATTATACACATGTCACACACAACACCTGCTAAGAGTGATCTTGAAAAAACAATGATAAAAATAATAAAAGCATCAGAGGCTGAACCAAAAATTTGATGATATATTTCCTTTAAAAAATGCCCTTATCACAAATGAAGAATTATCTCATGCCTGTTGGTGAGTAAAAAACTAAGTTACATGCAAGCAATTTCCATTTGTGTTTCCTGACATAGTAAATGTTGAAGATATAAGTTCTTATTGTGTATGATGGAACAGAAATTTTCAAGTAGAATTCCTTCATGATAAATGGGTTAAAAAATGATCCTTCTGTTTCCTGGTTTTGAGTTTAGTAATGTAGGGAGTAATAATAATTATTATTATTGTTGAATGTTAGGCTGCATACTTTGTCAGAATGTTTGGCACTGATGTGGTGGTGAATACAGCAAAAATTGTCTTTGTTTCGCAGTGATGACAAAGGATTGTGCCATATTTTAGTACTGTGAGAAATTCTGGATATCACAATTTATTAATCAAGGAAAGTGGATATTTCGATTTCAAGGGTGACACAGAATAAAGAGCTTAGCAAGAGCTAATGAAATCCAAAAACAAAATTGTGGGTAACCACCTACACATAGCTTTCAGAGATAATAGCATTATGAAGCCTCCATTTTGTGAAAATTATCTTAAATTGTGACGTATTTTGAACCTCCTAAAGCATTTTCGAAAGTATTTTGAACCTTCTTAGCATTTTCTATAAAAAATGAAAAATGCATCTCTGGCCCCTTTTTTTGTGGATTTTGAAAGATTATGCTGAGATTTTTTTCCAAACTGTCGCAGAATATGTATTTTGTTTTGTTTTTTTGTTGAACCTTGTCTCAGTGTTAGCTAATATTCTCATTAATTTTAGTGAAAACAGATATCCATAGTTAATTGTTAAAAAAACTGACTTCTTATCATTTACTTCTTCTTCCTTAAAACCTTAGAATTGTGTAGTTCTCTATTTATTACATCTGAAGTGTAAGAGGTGTTATTGTTTTGCTTCTAATATTACAGTCTGCCCTAGCCCGTCAGTCTTTGTATGTCAAATTTGACCCTCTTATTAAAGGAGCAAGTCCACAAAGCCCAAGTAAGAAATCTGTAGCAGTTTGAATAATTTATAAGTAAATAAACTTTAAGCATATTTAATGTTGAGAGATTCACTTTCACGCATATATTTCACCCTTATTTTCAGCTCAAAATGTAAAGCCTATTTTGCTTTTACAAATATGTTTCTCATACCATGGTAATGAAAGTGTCCATAACTTTTATCTCCCAGGCCCCAGTTGTTCAAAAGGTGGATAGCGCTATCCAGCGGATAAATCTCTGTCCAGTAGATAACGCAATCGGTTTCCCTAATACTTATCCGCTGGATAGTGATTTATCCGGTGGATAGCGCTATCCGACGTTTGAACAACCGGGGCCAGGATATTTTTTCATTGACTGAAGGACAGAAGGTAATGGGAATTTTGAGCAATAAATTTATTGGTTATAAATTAGTCTAAAACATCAAAGAAACAATTCAAATTGTAAAAGAACAACCGATACAGAAAAGGCAAATTAAAATAGAAAACAAATAGGCTAGGCTTTTACCAGTTTATATGAGAGGCTGTTCTCCAATGCGCTGGAATAGTCTTTTTCGGTATATTATGGTTGTGATTCAGTCAATAGAGTAACCCCTGTCTGGGAAATTTCCAGGCACTCAAATAGTAGGACGCGGTGGGAAGAAAAGAAATTGAGGACAAATGAGAGAGACTGGGGAAAGGGGCGAGGAAACCCCCGTCCCCACCTTCTTCATTTTTTCTTTGTGCCTCCTTTTACTTCACACCACTCACTACTATCTGAACCTGGAACAGACTTGGGAAATGAGCATCCCCGTTCCTCTTGGGAGAAACACTAGATCCAAGTAAGCTACTTACAGATCTTATCCTAATACAGTACTCTTATTTTTTTTTTCTGTGACAGTGAAAAACAAAGTAGGTGTGAGAGATGTTTTACCACCAAAGCCTCCAAGGTGAGATTAGCTTGTTTTGAATATATTCGTTTCCTTTTTTATTGTCAATACCATCTTAAGCCGGGGGAAAGAAGCTTTTTTGCACAGACTCGGTGACGAATTACTCCTTAATTCTGGCGCGAAATATCAGCGTTGATTTATAGTTTCACGTGTAAAAATACAAAATTACCATGGCAACTTTCAGTAAGTCTCAGTGCCAAGTAGGCGGCGAAGTTTAAAACTGTTGTGAATGAAGATTGCACATCAAGAAGGATTCTAACGGCTCGGGAAATTGTTAGGATTTGGACAAAATGCGCGTGAAATTATACCCTAATTTCACTCGTCACCATTTGATTACACATACTAATTTGAATTATTTGTTGTAGAGCTGTGCTCCATAACATTCCTGTATACGAGGGCCTAAAATAGGGTTTCCAAATCCCGTTTCCCGCCACTATTTTTTCTTTCATCCCGCCATCCCGCTTGCTTGCTCGTTTTTCCATCTAAGGGATGTCGAAGAGGCCGACAGAGTTACCGTTCGGGAAGCGGATACCATGTTCCTCGATGAATTGATACGATGTGCCCAACACCGAATCGTGAATTATCCTAGTGCATTGTCCTCGTCCATCTCGGTTCCCGCCTTGCTAAAAATAATAAAGATTTCCCGCAAACTCCTGACCATCGCGCATCCCGCCAACCCTATGTTAGGCCCTCGTATACCGCCATCAGAAAGGTTATGGTTATTGCGCGGTTGCTGCTCTTTGCATCTTTTTTATTGTCATATCTGCTTACCTTACTTAGCATGGGCGACAATTTGCTGTTGATGGATTCGCCAGTACCCAACCTAAAGTCTTCTGGGGCAGTTAGTCGGCGAGCCTACACTGATCCTTCTACAGCACAAAATGCTGAAAGTCCGTGTGGAGTTGACAAGTTGTTAAATTTCTCTCCTTCAAAGCTGAGTGAGGTAACGTCACAAAATTTGTCACAAAAATAAAGCTTTATTTTTCTCTTCCCCTGGCCTCGTACCTTGCGAGCAGAGGTTTGTTTCTGGCATGGCTTTTAGCATTTACGAAGTCGTTCGCGTGGCTTGCAAAGCCATACCGGAAAGAAAGCTCTGCTCGCAGGGTACTGGCCTCGCGCTCTTTGCGCGAAAAGTACAGCTTTATTTTCCACTCTCCTCTCGCGCTTCGCGCGAAATGCCCTGTTCGTCTTGCGTAGTTCATAAAGTGCGTGTAATGCAGGTTAGGTCAAGGACTCCTGAACTAACAGCAAGACAGTTAAGCAGTGACTTACTAAAACGCCATGTAATGGACAGTATTAGACGCAAACTTGATTCTTAATGTCCCATAAAAAAACGTGGTTACTCACAATGTTCCCCTTAATACCATACTAAGATCCATTTCTCCCAGCGACATAATCAAAGAAGCCTTGCAAGATACGTTCTTATTGTGCGGTCAAACGTTTCACAATGAGGAAATATCTTTCAAGTTGTGACGAAAGCTTTTTGAGGTATCCAACACGTTCTAAGCGCCAATTTCACTTCCGAGTTTCTGGTCGCTTTTGAAAATTAAAAAACTTAAGAGGTAGGACTGATTTATAAGTTTTTTACCTTTTTTATTCTTTACTGGTGATTAAAATGTTCCGTTTCCTAAGAAATGAACCGTGCAGCGAAAACGTTCAAAACTTTAAAAGCGTTTTCGCGTTCTTTTCAACTTCAGTTTTATCGCCATTATTAAAACTATCAATTTGTCTGAAATGAAGTCAAACTCCCCTGGAACTGATTTCGGAAAGAGAAAAAAAATAGGTCGTTATCTTGCAGTGACGGCAGAAAAAAAGTGAACCAAAAACTGTGAGGCATGTGCAAGATCATTGTAAGTTGCCTTCTGCCTTCTTTCTCTCGACCTCTCCACCATCTTTTTCTCGATTGACCTCTATAAATTGACGAAACACGTACGAAACACAAACCGAAAAATCATTGCCATCTTATAAAACTCCATATTTCTAAAAACTTTCCGTGATACTGGAAGAAAGCACTCGTTTCCTCATGTTTCTTGTAATTTTCCTTGTAACACATGAAATTTCGTGTTATCGAAAAAATTCCTATAAAATGCGGCTTTCATTTTCTATAAAAAGATACAATAGCGTCTTGGCTTGATATGGTTTCCGTACTATATTTATTTCATTTGTGATATTGGTGCGTGACAAGGCCTTTCAAACACTTTTTTCAATTTCTATTAAAAAGGCGTTTTCGTTTTGGAACCCGTATTTATAAACTTAAAAACACGATTTGGAAGTTTAACTCTATTACCCTTGGGGAACAGAGGTTTTTCTCTTGCATGGCTTTTACGTTTAAGAAGTCGTTCGCGTCGCTTGTCAGTCGCGTGGTTGGTCTGTTTTCCAGTGCCCGGTTCCTGAATGGCCGATTAGCGCTAATCCAGGATTGAAATTTTATTCCGTTTTTGTATTTTACTGCTTTTTGATAGAGTTTGATGGAGTAACAGTTTGTGTTATCATTTCCTTATCTCGGAGTAAAGGCTCAACAATATTTTGTGAGCTCGGGTTAAAAAACTGTTTTCATCCCGGGTTAAAGTTAACCATCTTTCGACTAACAGGTCTATAACAAGCGACGCGAACGACTTCGTAAAAGCTAAAAGCCATGTTAAAAAGAAACCTCTGCTCGCAAGGTAATAGACTTAACGTGACAAAACCTTTGCGATATAGTTTATTACTTAAGAAATGCCAGAAAAGAATTTACATGGACGTGAAAGATTAAGTTCTGTAAAAAAATGGAATGGCTTCAAGTTTGCGGTCTTTTTAGTTAATTTTCCTCATTTCTGAGAACATAAGGTTTTTTCTAGCCAATGACGAAATTAAACTGTAAGGTAATAAGTTTTCTTACGTTTTTCTTACCTTGTTAACATTCTCCTTGGTTACGAAGGAACTTGCAGCCATAATGATAAAATATTCAATGGCATGACTTTTTATTTTTACCCACTCAATGCCCGCAGGTTTAAAATGTTAATGTATTTAAATTTTTGTTTCTCTTGGCTCATTCCTGCCAAAAGGCGGAAACTTACGCCTTTTAAAACAACCCTCCGCTCAGCGAAGATGAAAACATTTCGCTTCTAAATCTATTTTCAGGTTATGAGAACAGAACCCGAACGAAGGGAAGAACGAATTGTGGAAGAACCGTATGTTGTAGATAACCGCTCTACACCTGAGGCGAGCAACATTGAGGTCAAAGAAGAAGAACCAAGGCGCGAAAAGGTAAAACAACAAATTAAAATTTCTTTGCTTTTTACATGTATAGTCAGTAAAGAAATTCCTTTTCATTGATACTTTGTATACTTTGTGTACTTTGTGTCTACCGACACTTTAATCGATAGAAACCTTTTAGAAACGAACGAAGGCGATTTCCATTTGAATAAGTTCACGTTTAGTCAGTGGGGATCTGTTTCGTTTATAAATCTCATGTGCTGTATGCATGTCAATTAAAGAAACTGTATATTTTCGCTTGGATGAGCTAGGACAAGTACCGTTCGCCGTTCGTATACAAAACTTGTTTGCGGTGACAATCGAAAGCAGTGAAAACCAACGAGCCGGTGTAAACATCCTCGCCGTTTTTGTGGAAATCTGCTGAGATTCTTCGACTCAATAATTTTGCTTTTAAACACCAAAATTACGTACGATCCGCAGGCCTCGAAGTATCGATATTCAGGAAACGAAATTTTATTCCTTTGCTGAGCGAATATATTTGTTAGACAGTGCATCAGTCAATTCATGTCAGTTTTAATTCCGGGTTATATCAACGGCTTGATTAGAATTAATTATTTTATTTTGACTTATTCTGTGTTTCGTGTTTGCTGTTTCTGTTCATTCTTGTAGCAAGAATCCTTAGGTATGAATCTAATAGTCAGATATGTAAAGAGATAATTTAAATCATGCATTTATAACCTAGAGTTTCCGGATTTTCTTGATTCCAAAGCACAGCTTTTTACGTTTTCTACCAAATTGTTTTCCTTTCTTTTTACCGTATAACACTATTTACACGAAAAGTGGCGTCGAAATCGTAACGTTTTACTGTCCTCTTTGTATTGGAAGAAAGTACAAATAAGACCAAATATAAGTCTACGCATCGTGACTTGTCTTTCCGGGCATGTTATTTATATTGAAGACTTTCATTCGGTTTCTTATTTGAAAAAAAATACATATTCCAGATATATATTTCATGTAATTTTCTGTTGTGAAAAGATTGTCTTTTCGGAATGTGAATCTTAAGATGAAATTACAAGATGAAAAGGGCGTAAACTGGCAAAAAATACCAAAATGTTTTTGAGAGAAGGTGTTACATCCATTGGATGTATTCCACTGTTTTTTTTTTTCCCCTCTTCTTTAGCTGTCACTTTTAACAGGTTTCTTGCGGATTCTGCCATTATCAATTTTGTTGTCATATAATATTAATGATCTTTGAAGTATGTGACTGGTGTTTTGCGTTTTCTTTCGAGCAAACTTGAGATTAGATCGTTGACCTTATAAGGATGCCAAGCAGACCAAAAAGTAGGCTTCCGACTGGTTTGTTTGTCAAGAAACCTGTAACAGCACTCGACAAACGTAGTAACGTTCCCGCCAAAAGTGTTATGGCGGGTGGCAAGCGACTTTTAAGTGGCTTTAGTGTGAGACATTCAATGAAGATGACGATGTTTTGTCGAGAACAACACTGCGACTCAACCTCACAATTTGTAAAAAGTATATGAGTTGATCTGTTTTTCTGGCATCGAGTTTACTTCCATATTAAGTTTAGTTCCGGTAAAATGAGGGCGCCGTCTTTGCAGTTTGTGAAACGATTTCATCTTTTCCTTGATGTGATGAGATCACTGTGATTGAGATCAAAGAACAAAGATCATGGTTTTGTGGTCTTTTTTCAAGAATGTTATTTGTCTGGGACAATCGATAAATGAGTGTACCATGAAAAAGGAGGTTAGCCTTGCTTAAATTTTTATTGTGTTACTGTGAACGTTTTTCATCCGTAAAAAACATCGTTTAGTTTGTTAAGGTATCGTAGAGGGTTTACATAATGTTTTAAGGACTGTTTAAGTTTAATGCGAGACCATGGTAAGCGGACGGTGTACAGGGGGCTGCAGTAATGTTACGTTTTTTTTTTTTGGTACTCCACGATGCTTCTTGTAAGTTAATTCAAATTTCGGTTGTGTTTTTATTTGACTATTCACCGTGGTGTTGGAATCAAATCCGGAATAATTGTGCGATTCGTGTTTACTGAACTTGACCGCAAAATTATTAGCTGTGCCGCTTTTCATAATAACGGTGAATGATGATTGTGCACGTTGGGTTTAAGTGTCACCATTTAGATGAAAACTCCATATCATTAATTGTCTCCACTGGTGCTGTTTGTTATCATAATCCTGTACAAGGTGTTTCTAACTTTTGACCCTGTGAGTAAAATTCGTTTAAAACGTTGCAATTCCATTGAAAGATATTGAGAAGCATTTACCTGTAGTACAGCAACTGTTTGTTATGCTGTTGGTCCTGACATACGAATTTGACGGTTTATACCCACAATTTGACCATTTTAATGAAAGCTGTACTTGTCCAGCAATAGTCTACCTCCCACGCAGACGTTCCTACTACGGCTTGCGTTCCATCCCCGTTCCTTTCTTCACATGGAAGGAAAGCGTGACTAATCCCTAAGAACGTCTGCGTGGGAGGCTAGCAACAGTCGTAGCTAGTCGTACAAAAGGTGATAACGCTATTAGTATAGGTAATAGCATGATTTGTAGTAATATTTGGCATAACTATCACGAGTGATATTTCGAAATTGTCATACTTAATTTCACAAGCCGTTAGGCGTGTGAAATTGGAGACAATTTTTAAATATCTCGAGTGGTATTTATGCCAAATATCACGTATAAATCATGCTATTATTTGTTTATACTACTACCCGCAAAAGGTTTGTAATTTTCACATGTAGGTATTTCAAATTAAGCTGAAATACCACTTCTCTAAGCCAATCAAATTGCAGTAATTTTTCACGTAGTAGTATAAACTGGATAAATCGCTGTCCAGCACGTGGAAAATATAATTGGTTTCTGTAACACATATCCACGGGATAGCGATTTATCCCGGCAGTTAAAGATACAGCTCAAAGTGTCACCAGTCAAATCCTGCTGATTTTACGTGGTCATCCGGGCCACGCGAAGATCTAGCTCAGTGCTTGGGGGGCAAAGTGAGTACCTTCATTTCTCAGTTGAGTATTGGTCCGGCACCGGGAATCGAGCCCGCGACCTTCGACTCTGCGGTCAAGCGCTCTATAGTCTGCTACACAGCCGTTTTTAGTGTCGTCACGCAAAACGGCTGTGTAGCAGACTAAGCGCTCTATCGACTGATCTAATCCTGCCGCGATCATTTTCATCAAATGTTTGGCTTTTCTGGACTTCTTGTCTCTTCTTTGTTCGCTTGAATTAACTTTTTTCGTGTTTCCCTTTTTAGGCGCTGTTTTATACCAAAGAAGACTTTGATGAAGCAGTCCGAAGAGAAACAGAGGCCCAACGTAAACAGGCAAGAAATAGTTGTAACTTACGGATTTGATAACGAATATTAACTCCGTCTGCTATTTTACTCCACGGACCCTTTGACCACAAGAGAAGTCTTCATAATATTAGAAATAGAGTGTAGCACGTGAGGGTACGCACGCGTCGCTCGCGTTCTAATGTGTCAGCTTGCGTTTTTTTAGCACGGTAAAATAAAAGGTGCAGTCAATTTAAAGCATGGCTCGACGGTCACGTTCAGGGAAACAAAAGAACTCAACAAAAGAGTCAACATTTGCTTTCAATAAAGGCAATAACTTTACTTAGTTTCCTGTACCGCTTTTCCTCACCAGGCGTTGTTTTGCAGCAAAGAAGAATTTGATGAAGCAGTCAAAAAAGAGACAAGTGCTCTGCGACAGCAGGTGAAATTCGTAATCTTGTAACTGCAAAGCTTCTAAAAGGGTTCTTGCACCTCTGGACTCGAGATTTTGGACCTCAAAGCAGCCCGTGTTTTTTTGCCTAGGTTAAGAAAGCCCGCGTGAGCGGTCAAAGGTCTCTGGTCTAGAGTGAGTGTATTAACGGAGAGAGAGAAAAAAGGTCGGTTTTTCTTCTCTCACCACACGAGCTTCGCGCCTAACGAAACCGATTTTGAGAAAAAAATTCTGACTGTTTTGCAATGTATTAAGACGTTGGATCTGTTCAGAATTTCTTTATGTTGTCTCAATGAGGCGTTTTCTACCTCAATAGCTGATCATAGTATCTTTGTTGTAAATAGTCACTTCGGGGATTTATACTTAAGCTAGGTTCAGCGTGCTGCTCGTTATCTTTTTTTCGTAACGTTTTTTGTTGGTTCCCAGATGGAAGAAGAATCCGCCATTCGTGATATGGAAAGTAGAGAATTAACAGAAAGGAATGATCAACTTAAAAGAGAAAGCGGAGAAATGAGGTAAAATGGAGAAGCCTTTGCTTTTCGAACAATCAAGTCTGCATTAAGTTGTTACAGTCATTAAATTGCTGAGCACTGCACGCGCGCGCCTGCACGGTCGCCTTTCAATTCACGCGGAGACTTGACGGAAGGCAGGCGTTCGTGTTTATTTCCCACGCTCTGCCATATCAGCCAAATATTACGGACAAAGCGTTGTGAAAGTTGTTGCTGACTTGGAATACATGATATCAGTTATGTTTGTGACTGGGGATGAAGATTGATGTGAAAGTGCGTGAGTGTGATCCAACGACGCGGACGGCAACGAGAACGTCAAAAAAACCAGTTGGTTTAATAAGCAAAACAACAACTTCGCACGTGCATCACGTTTTTTTGTACATTTCTTTCCTGTTTTTCCACAACTACGACGTGAAAATGCCTAATTTTGCGGTTAAAGGAGGACCTAAACAAGCAACGACGAAAGTTTATTTCTCTGTTTGAGCTTGGCTATGGTTCCTTGAAATTCAGCTTCAGGAGGGTTCGCCTACATTTGACAAAGTAAGTGGGTAGGAATAATCGCTATAAAGACTGAAAGAACGCAAATTCACTTTTTAAGCGACGTTCTTGTTGCCGTACGCGTTGTTGGATCTTAAAGTCCCTAATAGTGCACAGTGCACTGTTACCCTCTGACGTCATAGATTTTGCAATGTTGCCCGCTCAGAGATTTTGGCGGGAAACAGTTTCATTGTTAGATGTCATGTGACCTCGAAGTAACCAATGAGAGCGCGCGTGTTGGAAAAACATTAATTCCCTGCTACATAAGAATTCGTGATGTTTCTTATGTACTAAGTTGCTCATTAACACTCTTTGATTGCCCTCAGGGTTGTTATGCAGGAGTATGAGAAGACCATTGCAGACATGATAGGTAACTGTGATGCCCTTCCTTAAATATGTTCCTAGTATTAGGGTCTGGAAAGAGGGGTCCTGATCCCGCATTTCCGTACTTCTTTCAACGATATCCCGAACATCGTTTTCTTTCCCAATCTCGTATCCGTACCCAAATTTTCCCGCTTCCCCAGGCCAGAAGGTTTTCCGAATCTCGCGCTGTATTCTGGTCAAATCCCGGATCCCTGGAATAACCGTCGAGACCCTATAGTATTTGTGTATATTGTCTGAGTTTTCTAATGTGTTATGCTTCACACTTCTCACAGAAAAAAATCAGAAGTCCCAAGATCATTACCACCAGTCAACATCCGAAGTAGCGAAAGAAAGAGATCAGGTAAAAGAAAGCTTTTTGTTGGTCACACGTTCTTATTAATGTAAAATTGTAGGAATATCACCGCAAGGAAAAACTTGCCTTTTCTAACTTTAATAAGCCTCCCCCTCCCTGCTCTCCACATTTATTTGACCGAAATAACAATAATCACCCCCCGCTCTCCTCCCCGGGGGCTTTTTCGAGTAATTAGGGAGTTTAAGCAACGACATTTTTGAGCGACGCACGTTGACCGGAAGTGGACTTGTTATATTCTTGGACTTTGGTTGTGATTACATTTTCGGGCAAATCGTTTCAATGAGAGTAAAGACAGTTAGCAAATCAAATTTGGTAGCGTCCAGGCATAGTAAAAGGGGAAAGGACTCACTTCCGGTTAGCGTACAATAGTGTATCTCACTGTTATGAAAAACTAACGTCACGCAGTGTTTCCCCTGAGGAGGGTTGCGTGACGCACATCCCAGAAAAGGGGAAAGGACTCACTTCCGGTGACGTGCAATAGTGCATCTCACTGTTATGAAAAACTAACGTCACGCAGTGTTTCCCCTGAGGAGGGTTGCGTGACGCACATCCCAGAAAAGGGGAAAGCACTCACTTCCGGTTGACGTGCAATAGTGCATCTCACTGTTATGAAAAACTAACGTCACGCAGTGTTCCTCCTGGGAGGGTTGCGTGACGCACATCCCAGATTGCTTTTTGGCCGGAGAAAGTGTAGTCCCTCACAGAACAATAGGGAGCATTCCATTTGAATGTTTTTTTTTGAAATTCCTTTTCTTTGTAGCTGCAAGCTGACTTGACGGCGGTGGAAACAGCGTTTTCTGATCTTCATAGAAGATACGAGAAACTCAAAGGAGTAGTGGAGAATTTTAAAAAGGTAAGAAAGTTGTTGGTATGTTAATACTGTATGAAATGATTTAGCTTTCTGATGGGCTAAGGAATCTCGCACCCCTCTCTTTCAACCTGTTTGGAGTAAGACTTCAAACTATAGTCGAACGCCCACTAATGGCCACTTGGTTTAAGCCTGTGAACAGGTTCTCTTGTGAAGAGAAGGGCGAAAAGGCGAGAAGGGGAAAACAGAGCGGGAGGAGCACAACATTCATTATCGCCCTTCCTCCAACTTTTTCTGCTCGATTTTTTCGCCTTACCGCGACCAAAAGGGCTGTTCACAGGCTACTCTACCTCGGCCACTTACCTCTCTACCCCGGGTGGCTGTTGTGGTGAGATTCTACTGTTGTTCAGACTTGTGCCGTCGCATTTTCCCGCGCTTGGCAAGTGGTTCATGCATCTGCCTCTGATTTGGTTTTGTGCTCATTTTGATTGGTCAGAGTAAATGCGTTAGTTTAGGTTTTACCACACATTATCTTATTAATAGCAACCGCGTTATGTAAGAAAACAAGCGAGGAGAGGACTCAAGAGGTTTCTCTAAAATGCCGATTAAAGCGAAGGACTGCTGTTCACAAAATTTGCAGAATTTCATGAAAGTGTGTTGTTTTTTTTTTTTCACCAAACACCTACGTCTCTCGATTGTTGATTGAAAGGAAATGCCTGAGTAATTAATATAAATTGCACAGTTTTTCTTCATACTCGTCTTCTCTTCTCTTTTATATTTTTCTTCCCATTTACCATTCTCCTGAAGGGGCTCTTTTACCATGTGCTTTTTTCATCACGTTTCCAGAACGAAGAAATATTGAAAAAAGCAACGACTGACTACCAAGAAAAATTGAAGAAATCAGAGGAGAAGTATCGTCTTTTAAAGAAACACGCTGAAGAAAAAATAGAAAGGTTTGTCTTCGTTATATGCACCTTGACATACGGTAAACAAATATTGTGTAGCGTCTTGTTTTCATGGCTGTTACTAGCCTGCACTACAGGTGTATTTTGGGCGGGCGAAAGCTGCTTGTTTGTGTTCGTATTGTTGTAAGCGCCATCTTTGATTTTATAACGGAGGATGGGTATGGAGAGTAAAAATAGTAACCCTTAGACTCTAACCCTTAGGGTAGTCTCTCCTCCACAGAGGCCACTTTGTGTTGTAGGGAGGCTGGGGAGAACGAAAAAGGAAGCACGCAAGGCATGATGGGAAAGGGAAGAGTCCCGCGCGCCTTCTATTTTTCGATGATTGCTATTTTTACTGTGATACCCAGCGGGAGCCTCTGCGGAGGAGAGAGCTTAGGGTAGGTGCTAGACCGAAAGAAGGAAAGACTCGCCTCATTTCCACCTCTCTTTTGGAGTTTCAACATGGCGCTTTCGTGAGCAAAACATTTGCGCGCCCGAAGAAAACGCCTGCACTGCAGGCAAGGCTGTTACGACCTTTTTCATCTTGTCCGGAAGCCATCTTTTATCGATCGCTCAAAAAAGAAAGGAGACGCAAAAAATGTCCAGGATTTCAGGAATTGTTTTAGGCTGTCCTCTTCATATGATAGTCTAAGATTCATTGCAATTCGTTAGCCTGTGCAGAAATTGCCTGCTATTGAGGCTGGAATTGACTGAAGTACTTTATTAAACTACAAGTGTGGCTAAGCTTAAGATGGTACTTTCGTAGTAATTGAAAAGAAAACGCAGGAGGAGAAATTGAGCAAAGAAGATGGGAGGAAACTTGCTTCTTACTCTGCGAACTCCCTTGATCTCCATTTGTGACACGATACACGCAGCATTTTTCTTTCGTACCGATTCACCTGCTCCTTAGTCTCTATCTTTTTCTACACTTCTTCTAGATAAAATCCAACGTTTCGTCGTAGGTTTGACGGTTATTATTATTACTAATTGATTGTTTGTTTCATTCAATTTGTTGTAGTGCAAATATCGAAATTACTCGTGTACGGAAATCTAACGAGTCAGAAATAGCAGTGATGAAAGCAGCGCTCAAGAAAGAACAAACCAAAACCGCCAGTTTAGAAAAGAGTCTCCAGCAAAAGGTGAGTGGGTTTTGATGGCTTTTGTGGAGCCAGAGTATCAGGGGTTAAAGGAGAAGAGAAAAAAAGAAAGGGGAGACAGCAAAAAAAAGAAAATTTCTTTCCTTGTTCCTCCCAACCCCACTCTGATACTGATACTCAGAATTATTTCATATACTTCACACTGATACTCAGGTTACCTTCTTTATGGACTCTCCCTCTGGGAACTAAGTTACAAAATCGTGTATGGACTATGAAAGAGGCGTTTCGAAAGGGAAGGGGAAAGAAATTTGGGCGCGCGACACCACGCGCGAGCGAGAATGGAGAAGGAAAACCTTTCCTCTTTCCTCGCGCGCCCTTCGTGCTCTTCACATGACCGAAATCCCCTTTCCTTTCCCTTTCGAACGCCTGCCAGGGTTAAGGTGACTAGACATGCATGCCCTACCCTGTGTGGTGACAGAATTAGGCTGTTATGTTTTGGTTTCTCAACTCTATCTCATCTGAGCAATTTCAGGTTCTTGTGACGACGATGGTTACGTTGTTTCCAATCAGCTCTTTGACGTTTGTGTTTTTGTTACAGGTATCCGAAAATGCCGAACTTACAGCGATATGTGACGAACTTATCAACAAAATGGGTGGCCATCGATAGTCCGTGGTACTGCCATTGACTGGTCTATGGTCTTCGTCTCCCGACGAGTTGTTAAAATGTATTATAGTGAAGTTACTTTTCAAGGGATATGCTGAACAGATACATTACACCTAAACTAGCGTCCAGTCCTCCAGGGGCTTTTCAAATTTGGACGATGGAACACCGGCAAGCTTGCAGCAGAGTTTTCTGGACCTTTTTGCCTGCCAACAAGTTAGACTATTTATTATCAGGCAAACCTTGAAAATTTAGGACCTGAAGCCGTTATGTGTTAGCCACCTCCGCCAATATCTACACGACAATAATTGGCGTTTTCATTACTCTGTGAGACACTGTGGGACATGGTCTGAACGCAAAATTTGTCTGAGGTCACCTATAAAACTACGGTAATTTAACTAACTAAAGCTTATACTGAGAGTTTTTCTGAGTGCAAACTCTATGTTTGCATATAAATCATAAAGGTAGCTTGCGTGTTAGAAAAACAGAAGTAATCACCCGGACCTTGGAAGTCAGTAATCAGCGTACGTTGCTGTTTTATTCAGTACTAACATTGTAAAATCCTAAGAAATGCATGAAAGCCGCTATGCAAAAGATCTAGCAAAGAGTTTTCAGTTGACTACAATTGAAGTAACATTTGCCTGTTCCCTAGGCCTATTCATTCTGGGTCACGTGGTCCGAGCGAGTCTTTGAGCCGTTTCTCTCGGACACGTCACCGAAATGCATTGACCGAGAAGGCCTGGGATGACGCCATACAGGGACGAGGCAATGGTAATATCCACAGTTTCATAAGAGAGGAACTCATGACCCTCTCTTGTCTCACACAGATTCGGGCTAGGAGTAAAAGGGCTTTCGAGAGAGACAGACACCTTACATGTAAGAAATTCACACCTGTTGCGAGAAGTAAGATAGTGGAGAAGAGTGAGCAAATGTTGGAAGATTGAAAGTTGTCTTATCCATTGGGGCAGAAATTGTCCCCCATTTTTTTGCGTAGACGTGTGTTCCGCGCTCTAAATGAACCTTTTCTAATAAGCTTATCTACTCAATGAAACAGGCTAAAGGTTACTTAAAATGTACAGATGTGTATATAATGCAAGCGAAAGACTGCCCTCCCACCGTGCACGTCTGTAGGAATTTCCTGTCTCCTTGATTTGTTTCGTAGGAATTCGATGATACATGTCAGACTTTTTGCATTTTCCTTTGCTTTTCACTATTCTGAACGAAATGCAGTGGAGTCGATTTATGAGACAAAGGTATTCTTTTAAAGTAGTTGTTAGAAAATTGGAACTTTATAAGCAACAGCAACGTTTCTCATGTGTTAACTCGTTTCAAGATAATGCTACCCTTTGTCGCAAAAAATAGTTACTAAATTACAGGTTTGATAACCAAAGCAATTGAGCTTGTAATTCTTTTTTTTTTTAATCGTGGAACTGTACTTGTGTGCAAAGTTTGTATATAGCCTGTTCTTTGCTTGTCTGAAATTTGTCTACTTAACTTTCAATTGTAAAACCCGTTGGTCGTTAGTCTTTACTAGGCTGACAATTGAGGACACTTTCTGCCTTTGGAGGGTGTTATGCATTCCTTCTAGGGTATCTTGGTAGCTTAAAAAAACCTGGAGATAGGTGAGAGTAAAAAATGACTATGTAAAAAAGAAATTTCATTTATATTTAATTTTATAGGATAGTAATCACCAAGGCTCGGGGCATGTCCCCTATAAACGGGATCTTTTTTTACAGCTCTGTTATGACAATCGTTCATAATTCTGCCTGTCAATCTTTTTGGAGAAACCCTCAAATTGGCGCAAGGGGCCCTCGTGTATTTATTAAACCAAAGTGGTTTTGCGGGACATAATAGTCCTTACATTTCCTGTGGGTTCCAGTTTTCAGAGTCTGATGGGTGGGCTACGGACGTCTGTTTCGAAATGAATGTGAAGATTGATAAATATATTTCTTATTTTTTTGTGAAGGTGTTTGACAATAAACTACGATTGAAATATTAGAAATCTGCTGAAATCATTTGTTGATTATAGCCTGTGTACAGACGCCCCCTCCCCTGAAAAAAATCAGGCAAAGAGAAGCTGTCTGTGAAGCTATTCACACGGAGCTATTCAGACGTCTGTGAAGCTATTCACATTTATAGAATGAAAACCCTATCCTGCATTGAGGACGCTCAGCTGGCTTTAGGGGCGCAAGACACCCCAGAGGAAAGAAAAGAGTGCGTGACTTATCCTTGTTACCCGCGCCCCAATAAACACCTGTTGTGTTAATCTCGAACCCAGATCTCACTCTGTTTTACACTTGGCCTTGAGAGATCTGGGTACGAGATTACTGTTGCGTTAGCCTCCGAACAGGCTCACTTCTGCGAGTTCAAGGGAAATTTTTCTCGCCCTATTCTTCTCGTGTACTGGCAGCTCTGCAGGCAATATTTTCCCCGAACTCTTACAAGAGAGTCTTCTCGCAGGCTACTAGTATGAAGGCTGTCCCAGTCTCCAGCCGTTTGTTTCTCGAGGCATAACATCGGCTGAAGTCAGATTGTTTCTTTCAGTAAAATTACATGAAGAACAACTTAAGTCCAACTTTATTGTGTATTATTATATGGAGGAGAGTGTTTTACTGGGAACTAAACCACTCGTAGATTCCATACGCCACTTCATCCGGGACCCGAGTGGCGTATTTTCCGTATGTCACCTTTGTGGGTGTTGTATCGTTCAATGACGTCACGATTCCCGCCTTTTGCTTTTGTTGAATTGGTTTCTCCATATAATAAAAAGAACATTACACACTGGCAAGAAGATATGAATTTTATGTTCGAGTGGCAAGAACAATATCTTACTACACCATCGAGGACTAACCTGAAATCAGGCGTCTATTTTTTTTTTTTTTTTTGCTTCTTTTTGGCTCGAGAGCGAAAAAAAAATAAAGGGATAATAGGGAGAGGGCATGATCTGCCAAATCCGCTGCCAATAATTAAAATATACATGTTCTTATGCCACACCCCATTACAATATTTGAAAGCTAACCGTTTTCAGTTCAGTACTTAACCCTAATCACTGCAGATCAGTGCTTAACTCTCTACTGTGTTCTCTCCATAACTGGCACTCTGTAGTTTTGGTTTCTTCAGCTATTATAGCCTCATTGTACATTCCAGTCTCGTTCCATTATGGAAATAATGCGTTGTGTAAAATTCATAAGGTGTCCAATCTGGCTTCACTCGACGGTTATCTAACGTTAACCTTTTCCCAACCTGTACCCACTGCCAGACTCCTGTCGTACCCAGTCGCTATTTATGCGTTTTGGGAGTGAGAGAAGATTGGGGGTTAGGTTGAAGCGCGCGCGGGGTACCCATGAGACCCCGCGCACCCCTCAACCTAACCCCCAATCTTCTCTCACCCCTGAGACACATAAATAGCGACTGGGTACGAGTCTGACCCACTGCTAGCCTGCGAGCAAGCTCTGGGGTCTCCGTGGGTACGGGGGGTGGTCCCCCGCCAGAGGGTCCCAGGAAATCAGAGCAACAATCTGAGCTATTTTTTCCCCGCCTTCGCTGTCGCGTTTGTCTCTCCACGTCCGCCTCGTGCTCGCCTGAAAAGGTAATGGTAATTCACAGGGTAAATCACTTGTTTCTCCTGTCGAACCGACGAACTTGTTTACACATGGTTGAAAGTGAAAACAATTGAACAATTGTTTAGAGTCAATAGCTTCAACTACAAAAGAAAGTGTTGACACGGCTGAACTGAACTAATCGTTGTATAGTCAGGAGCCGATTACTATCGGCTGCTGGTATAGTATAGTAACCTGTTTTGCAGCTGGCCCACGCATAGTCTAGATCATTTGTATAGAAGGTTTACAGAGTCCGCGAAGCAGGCTTTTGCATAGCGGTGGTTGAAAAATAGGAATGTCAGAAAATTTTCAAAGTGTCGGAAGATTTTTTTTTTTTATAGTTTTATGGTGTTTTGCACTTTCTACCATATTGGATGCTGTCAAGTTCCGTTCGTACGTGAGCTCTTTGAGTCTTCACTAGACTTTCTCGAAGTCCTTCGCTTCGCGTTTTCGGTTCCGTAGTTGGCCAGAGCTCTTGCTATCTCGCTAGCCTGCGTAGCAAGCGTTTCCGTGCTGTTTCGAGAGTCAAAGACAGGGAAACAAAGACCGCGCAAAAAATGGAGCGAGTAGGCGGGAAGGGGGTGGGGAAGAAAGGAAGGAAATGCTCACCCTCCCCCCTCTTTCCTTTTTTTGGCTCTCGTTTCATTTCTCGCGCGGCCAAAACCGAGAATCTCGTCCTCGGTCATTCTTTGCTCCGAAACAGCACGGAAACGCTTGTTACGGTTACGCAGGCTACTATCTCGCTCGTACACTTGCCTACAAGTCGATATCAATTTTATCAGGAGCGCGAAGCGCGAGCGGTAGACTTTTTATGTTTTCTGCGGTAAAAGCGAACGAGAGAGCGAGAGCTTTCGCGCTGGGGCCCCGGTGGGGGGGGGGGGGCACTCCCATACATTACCTATACGAGTATGTGCCGCCCAACGGGGTCATGATTTTGAAGCTCCTGATTTAGAACAGGGTATCCATTTCAGAGACGTTTTCTAGAACGGGGTATAAAAAATTGTGGATCACGGCTTTATCTTCTGCTTAAAATTGTTGCTGATTATGAAGAAGCATTTATTTGATGTATAAGTCCAACTGTTTAGTCCAAATTTTATTTTGATTTATTTTTGCGTTCACTTCCTTTTTGGACACTACGTGACTACTTATATCATGTTAGTTTCGGATGGTCACATGACCACAGCAAAAACAGATCACCACGTGTTTTCAAGTGTAGTGTTATAGAGCAAACGTTTTGAATTTCTCATCGATTGCATCGCACAGAATGTAAGTAGTTTTCGCTCTTTAGTGTCGCTTTAGGTTTATTTTGGTTTTCTTTAGGTTTATTTGTCATTTTTGCTTATTTTATGTTCAGTTTTCACCGTTCATGACCAGTGATCACCGATCGAACCAAGCACGAGAAACTTGGCGATTAAAGACAGATTAATAGTCCAATCAACGCGTCGAAATTTCTGTGTCGACCCCAACATTGTGAAAAATTCTGCAAAGTACGAAGAGAAAACTGTGTTTTCACCTGGATTTTCGAGAAAACGAACGCTCAGAACCGACCGAACGGAATCGCAGGAATCTCTGGACTGGACCGCGCGATAGTGGATCGCGGAATGGACCCTGAGGACTCAGCGAGAGGAGCAGTTGGATACTCCCTACGCCAGGACCCCGTACCAAATACTCAAATTGATTTTAGTGAACTCGTGCATCAACGCGAAATAAGCGAACAACGCAGACTTGCATCTTTGTGGAACAAGGAATCTAAAGAAGTTGCCTTTGAAACACAGCAGCTCCAAACTCTCCTCTACACTAATTGGGAGCACTTGTCCGCCCGCAAAATAGTAGATCATTTAGCTATCATTTGGGAAATCCTTTGAGACTGTACACTCGAAGTACCTGCCAGGCATACGTGACAGCAAACGACTACAAGAAGTACAGCAAAGGTTCAAGTCCCTCAAAGAACAGATGATGTTTACAATAGAAGAATGCGAAACGCAAATACGGACTGATCAAGAAACACAAGAACGTGATGATGAACGCTCCATTAAAAGTCACAAGTCGCACCAGTCTCAGAGCTCCACTACTTCAAGATCCTCTTCGTCGTCCCGGAAAGAAAGGTTTAGAGCCATGCTTTTAGCAAAAAAGAAATTGGAGTTAGCGAAGAGTAGGGCACAAGAGGAAGCTGAGTTGGCGAAGAGTAAGGCTCAACAAGAAGCCGAATTGGTCAAAGCAGAGCATGAGCGGAGCGCAAAGAAGGAATTGAGACTACTCGAGGACGAAGCCGTTCTAGCTGAACTGGATTGGAAGATTGAAAATGAGTTCGACGAGGAAACTGGTGTTGTTAATGGTGTGGACAATATTGTTCAGACAACCTATCCCATTGAGGAGAAACCACTGGGACAGTCACCTCAAATTCAACTTGATGATTCACAACCCCGAACACCAAAAAAATCCCAGCACCGACACCCAAACCTTCACTGCCTCTTATACCTGTCAGTTGCTCCACCCCCCAAGACACAGCACCTGGTTCGTGCAAGGAAAAGCCAGCCACTGAGGTCAAATCCAATATTGCCGATACTGCAAACAAGGGAGCACTGCCAGTCACTGAATGCCAGCAGCCACCATACCAAGCCCCACGAACCTTCCAGTATAGACCTAAGTCTCAGCCAGAAGACAAAGTAATAGAGCAAGCCCCTAAAGACCATGTAGCAGCCATGTGGAAGGTACAGCTTCTGAACGGAATCTCTCCTACACCCTTTAATGGCAACCCAGCAGACTTCCCGTTCTTCAAAGAACAAGCACATACTCACCTTGAAAGTGAGCTACTAACTGATGCGCAGCGGGTAGAGTACTTACCGAAGTTCCTGAAAGGAGAAGCCTTGGAGGTCATCAAAAAGAAACCGAGGCTCCTCCTATAGTGAGCTAATGAAGATCTTAGAGGAACGCTTTGGTCGCCCTATTCAGGTGACGCAAGCCTGCATCGAAGAGTTAGTCTCAGGCCCCAAACTTGCCTATGGTGACAACATGGGTCTGCTTAATTTTGCCGAGAAGCTGAACACTTCAACCAAGGTTCTGAAGGGAGATGTGGAACGCGAAGCAAGCGTAGCTACCAATTTAAGAAGAATCGTAAACAGACTCCCAAATGATTTAATCACCAAGTGGCAGACCGAAAACTACGAGATTGTTAGCCGTGGTGGAACTGCACGACTAAAGGACATTGCAAAATTCGTGAAAAGGCAAGCGTCAATAAGGAATGACCCAGTGTTTGGAATGCAGCCGCAAAGGGAGAAAACAGGACAAACAAGTCCCCCAAAGCTTCTAAAGGATCGGACCTGCCCACGAAAAAACGCTACGATCAACGCCACATCGCTTAAGAACGCCCCCAAGAAAGAGAACCCTGCAAACTGTGCAATTTGCAAGTC